GGGCCTGGGATGCCTTCATTCAGACCCTGCCCCCCACCCCCCACCCCCATGGTCCCAACCACCTGCTATGCTACCCAGGTCCCCATGACCCTGTCCTCCTTCAAGAGTGGGGGGCTCAGGACGGACTACATGGGGGTAATAAAGTGAGCACCTTCTCTCTTCCCCTCTGAAAGGGACCCCGAAACCAGCTCCCGCCCCAGCGGAAAGTGCTAAGGAGCCACATTCCACCTCCATCCTTCCGTCCGTCTGTCCCTCTGTCTCAGACCACGCCCTATCATTTTCGCGCACAGGCCTGCTTCCCCCTGCGGTCTGTGAGGGACTGAGCCTGTCCCCCAGCTGCTGGCGGCGTTGGAGTCCTCAGCGTCACCAGGGCCACCCCTTCGGAGCAGCCATCCCCTCCTGTCACTCAGCCCCTTCAGGTCAGGGGTCTGTGGGGCGTTATTTGGCCGTAAATAGGACTGAAGCTCCGTTACACCTACAAGATGCCTCCTCGCCTTTGGAAACCTTCCCCGAGTGAAAGAGGCCCCTTCCAAAGGCCCCTGTAGGACGGGATGTCCTGGCCAGGGGAGTCAGGAGACAGGGCAGGGTAGGGGCTGCCTAGGGCTGGGGGTGCGGGTGGCAGGATTGGGGGGTGGTAGCTAAATGCAGAGACTGGCCCAGCTGGAGTGGCTCAGTGGTGGAGCATCGACCTATGACCCAGGAGGTCAGGGTTCGATTCCAGGTCAGGGCACATGCCCGGGTTGCAGGCTCCATCCCCAGCAGGGGGCGTGCAGGAGGCAGCCAATCCGTGATTCTCTCTCATCATTGATGTTTCTCTCTCTCCCTTTCTCTCTGAAAGCAATAAATTAATATATATATATCTTCTATCATAATAAAAGCATAATATGCTAATTAGACCAGATGACCTTCCGGGTGTCCTTCCAGACGACCTTTCCAGAGGAAGCTGGGGCTGCAAGGGAAGCCTGGTCCTGGGTCCTGGGTGCCAGAGGAAAGCCGGTGGCGACAGCCAGGGGAAGGAAGGGCCTACTCTTGCACGAATTTCGTGCACAGGGCCTCTAGTATATATGTATTAAATTGAAAAAAAGAAAGAAAAAATTTAAAGAAAGGCAGCGATGGCTTTACCAAGGACAAGGACCCCGGGTGTGGTGGCTGCTTTGGGGAACTGAGCTGGGGGCCAGGATGTCACCAGGGCCCTCCCTTCCCCAGGCCGCCCCCCGAGTTCAGCTCTATTTCTTCCTCAGTCAGTGAGAGGGAAGCCAGGACCACCGCGCCCCCCCCCCCCCGCCCCTACCCCCACCCCCAGCGCCTCATCCTCCCGCAAAGTGGCGTGGCGGGGCGGCCCCATGTTCCCTGGGTCCCCGAGCCTGGCCCCCGCCCGCCGGGAGGGCGCGAAGGGAGGGGCGCGAAGGGGGTCCCCGCTGGTTCCCCAGGGCCAGGCGCAGGGAGCCCGGGTCCGGGGCGGGCAGGGGGGCGGGCGCAGTGCGCCTGCGCGGAGCCGAGCCCGGGTCGCGGTCTCGGGTGAACCCGCCGCGCAGAATCCAGTCCCCACGCAGCCGCCGCGGGCCCAGGGGCTGCAGGAGGAAAGCCCCCCACTCCCCCGGGGCCCCCCGCGCTGCTCGGAGGGCGCGGAGCAGACACTTGCTGGGGAGCTGCCGCCGGAGGGGCTCCGTGCCCTGGGGGCCGGGCCGATGCGGGGAGGACGTGCCAGGCGCTGGGACCCGCACGTGCAGAGCCTCCGGGGTCCGGAGCCGCCTGGGGTGCCCGCCCCCCAAATGCAGAGCCGCGGGGCAGCGGGAGCAGCGCCGGGACGGGCGGGGCCCGGGAGCGCGCACCCCCCCCCCCCGCGCGTCCCTCGGGGCAAAGGAGGGTCCGGAGGCCGCGACCCGGGCCGAGGGCGGGCGGGGCGCTCCCGGAGCTCCCACTTCCTCCTCCGCCCTCCCGACCCGACCTGTGGCCTCGCGGCCCGGGCTGGGAAAGGGAAATGCCTGCGCTTAAAGTCCGGCAGGTGGAAGGCCGCGCTCTGGTCACCCGGGTCCCTCCGAGGCCGCAAGGATCCCGGCGGGCATGACGGGGGCGGGAGGGGGCCTCGGGGCCTGGGGGCGCCTGGTGCTGCTGGTGAGTGGGGCCTGGGGGGGTGGGGGGGCGGAGAGGGCACCGGAGAGGGGCGCCAGGGCGGGGTCTGAGGGGGGGGGGGGCTGGTCCCTGAACTCGTGTCCTGAGGAAAAGGGTGCAGGTTCCCTGGAGAAGAAACAGGTTCCTGGAGATTGTTGGGGAGTCTTACACCTGGGCTCTCAGGTGTGTCCTGTCCCGGGTGAGAGTAAACTCTGGGTGAGGAAGACCCTGGAGTCCCGCCCCCGGCCTCCTCCTTCCTCAGACCCAGGAGTCCTGGCCCAGGGCCTCCTCCCTCAGACCCAAGAGCCCAGGCCCCAGCCCCTCCTCCCTCAGACCCAGGAGCCCAGGCCCCCAGTCCCTCCTCCCTCAGACCCAGGAGCCCAGGCCCCCAGCCCTCCTCCCTCAGACCCAGGAGCCCAGGCCCCCAGCCCTCCTCCCTCAGACCCAGGAGCCCAGGCCCCCAGCCCCTCCTCCCTCAGACCCAGGAGCCCAGGCCATCAGCCCCTCCTCCCTCAGACCCAGGAGCCCAGGGCCCCAGACCTTCCTCCCTCAGACCCAGGAGACCAGGCCCCCAGCCCCTCCTCCCTCAGACCCAGGCGCCCAGGCCCCCAGCCCCTCCTCCCTCAGACCCAGGAGCCCAGGCCCCCAGCCCCTCCTCCCTCAGACCCAGGAGCCCAGGCCCCCAGCCCCTCCTCCCTCAGACACAGGAGACCAGGCCCCCAGCCCCTCCTCCCTCAGACACAGGAGCCCAGGCCCCCAGCCCCTCCTCCCTCAGACCCAGGAGCCCAGGCCCCCAGCCCCTCCTCCCTCAGACACAGGAGACCAGGCCCCCAGCCCCTCCTCCCTCAGACACAGGAGACCAGGCCCCCAGCCCCTCCTCCTCCCTCAGACCCAGGAGCCCAGGCCCCCAGCCCCTCCTCCTCCCTCAGACACAGGAGCCCAGGCCCCCAGCCCTCCTCCTCCCTCAGACCCAGGAGTTCAGGCCCCCAGCCCCTCCTCCCTCAGACCCAGGAGCCCAGGCCCCCAGCCCCTCCTCCCTCACACCCAAGAGTCCAGACCCCCAGCCCCTCCTCCCTCAGACCCAGGAGCCCAGGCCCCCAGCCCCTCCTCCCTCAGACCCAGGAGCCCAGGACCCAGCCTCAGACACCAGCAGACCGGGTGTCTGGCCTCTGGTTCCCAGCCTGTCTCTCCCCTGTTCCCAGTTTGTTGATGACTTTCCTGTTCCTTTTAGTATGATTGCTATTTATTTTTACCAGCAATACATTGTTTACTTTTCTGCTCCTAGCCGTCCATACTTTTCGGGAAGTGAAACCATTCCCTTATCTCTGGGCCCTGCCTTATCCGTGCAGGTGGAGGCCGGGGCGGGTGTCCATCCCAGCTCCTGGGTCCCTGGAGCCCCGCCTCTGCCCCTCCCCTCCCCACACACCCAGAAGAGGCAGCTGGCCCTGGGGTGACCTTTGTCAAGGCTGAGCCTGGGGGAGGCATCACCCGCAGTGTCCCTCCCCCGGGCTGTGCCTCTGTGGGGGCTGAGGCTGGGAGGGTGCAGCTGCCCTCCAGCCCCCCAGTCTCACCTGGGCCTGGAGGGGAGGCTGGGCTCTGACTCACCCCTGGGCTCCCCCCAGGGCCTGTGCGTCTGGACCGGGGCCAAGGCAGCCGGTGAGGAATCCTTGCCAAGTCCACCACCCACCCAGAGAAGTAGCACCTCAAGTCTCGGGCGTGAGTTTTGGGGCTAAGGGGGGTCTCCATGGAGGGCGCCAGGATCCCTGGCAGGCGCTGATATGAAGGGTCTGTCTATCTGGCCTCCGGAGGGGATTAGGGACCCAGTTTGCTTCCCTATTCGCAGCACCCAACGCCACCACCACCACCGTCAGGAACCTGAATGTGTGGCATCAAAACAGCAGCTCCATCACCCTGCGCTGGGAGCCCCCGGAAGACCCCACCCTGCAGAACTACACTTACTGGGTCAGGTGCAGCGGAGACGGTGGCAGAGATGAGATCCAAAGAACGACAGACGTCACTTACAGGGCGGAGGGACTCGAACCCGCGACCCGCTATGAGTTTTCCGTGTGGTGGGAGGGAGTTGGCGCCAACAGCTCTGAGGCGACCCTCAGTGCCAGCACAGGTGAGAGCAGCTGCTGCTTAATCTGTTGTGGTTGGTTGTTTCTGTGTGTGTGTGTGTGTGTTTTTAATAAAACTTTAAAAAAAATTATTTATACATTTTTTAAACCTCACCCGAGGATATTTTTCCATGGATTTTTCTTTTTATTTATTTATTTTTTAAAACTATATTTCTTTAATGATTTCAGAGAGGACGGGAAAGGGAGAGAGAGAAAGAAACAGCAATGATGAGAGACAATCATGGATCAGTTGCCTCCTGCACGCCCCCGACTGGGGATGGAGCCTGAAACCCAGGCATGTGCCCTTGACTGGATTCGAATCCACAACCCTCAGTCCGCAGGCCGATGGCCGATGCTGTATCAACTGAGCCAAGCCGGCTAGGGCTCTTTTGCTTGTTTATCCTCACCCCAGGATATGTTTATTTTTATTTTCTTAAATATGTTTTCATTGATTTTATAGAGGAAGAGAAAGGGGGAGAGAGATAGAAGTGTCAATGATGAGAGAGAAGCATTCATTGGCTGCCTCCTGCCTGCCCCACACCTGGGATGGAGCCGGCAACCCCGGCATGTGCCCCGACAGGGAATCGAACTGTGACCTCCTGGTTCATAGGCGGATGCTCAACCACTGAGCCACGCCGGCCGGGCAGGGCTGCCATTTTGGACTTGAGGGTCTAGCCAGCACCCCAGGCTTCCTGGGCCCAGCGGGGAAGGAAGGCCTGGACATGTGGGCCCAGAGCCCACAGCTGATTCCCTCTCCTGTCCCCTCCTCAGCCCCCAACCCCGCCAGCAACCTGACCGTGGAGAGTCAGACCACCAGCTCCATCAGCCTGCGCTGGGGGCCGCCCCACGGCCCTGACCAGAACTACACCTACTGGGTCTTGTGGACGGATGGCCGTGGCGAAACTGGGAACCAAAGCACAACAAACACCAGCGTCACAGTGGACGGACTGAAACCCGGGTCTGCCTATGAGCTCGCCGTGTGGGTGGAGAACAGAAACATCAGCAGCTCCCGGACCCCTCTCCGCGCAGCCACAGGTGACGGGGGAGGGGGGGAGGCATTTGCTTTGTCGTCATTATCCTGTGTATTATTATTATATTTTTATTGATTTCTGAGAGGAAGGGAGAGGGAGCGAGAGAGAGAGAGAGGAACACAATGATGAGAGAGAATCATGGATCTGCTGCCTCCTGCACACCCCTACTGGGGATGTGCCCGCAACCAAGGTACATGCCCTTGACCAGAATCGAACCCAGGACCCTTCAGTCCGCAGGCCGACGCTCTATCCGATGAGCCAAACCGGTCAGGGCAAAAAGACCCACATTTTTTAAAATATATATTTTTTACTAGAGGCCCAGTGCACAAAATTCGTGCAAAGGGCTCAGCCCCTCGCAGCCATGGCTGCCTTGGGCCCTCAGCCCTGGCTTCATCCAGAAGGTCATCTGGACGGTCGTTCTGCTGTTCAGTCTAATTAGCATATTAGCTGTTTATTATCTAGGATTGATTTCAGAGATGAAGGGAGGGGGAGAGAGAGAGAGATAGATCAATGATGAGAGAGAATCATCGATTGGCTGTCTCCTACACTCCCCATACCAGGGATCAAGCCTGGCACCTGGGCATGTGCCCTGACCGGAATCTAACCGGGACCTCCTGCTTATACGTGGATGCTCAACCACTGAGCCACGCGGGCTGGGCGGTGGGGGTGGGGTGGGCAGTGAGAGAAAGAGACAGAAATACTGATTTGTTGTTCCCCTTGATGCATTCATTGGTTGATTCTTGTATGTGCCCTGACGCGGGATCGGACTCCAATCTTGACATATTGGGACGACACTCTAACCCACTGAGCTACCCAGCCAGGGCCAGGAAGTGTTTCCTAACAAGCTGGGCTGCACAGGGAGCAGGAACATGACTGTGTCCGGACGAGGGGCGAGGAAGTCTGACCTTCTCCCTGTTCCTTCTGCCAGTCCCCAATGCAGTGACAAGTCTCGGGGTCCAGGACCGGACCACCAGCTCCATCACCCTGAGCTGGACAGCTCCCGAAGGCCCGGATCACCCTCCCTACACCTACTGGGTCTCCTGGACCATGGAGGGCGGGGTTGCCACGGGAACCCAGAACACCTCGGATACCAGGGTCACAGTGGACGCAGTGGAAGCTGGGACCCTGTACACCTTCATCGTGTGGGCGGAGAGGAACGGGGTCAACAGCAGCAACGCGACCTGCACGGGGGCCACAGGTGAGACCCCGTCTAGGTCCGGGCCCAGCATACTGGGCTGGGGGGAGAGTGATGGGGGCATGCTGCAAGGTTCCTGGGAGATGAACTGTGCTTGGCGACCCCTCACTGGCCTCATCAGACCTTGAGCCTGTAGGTCTGCCTCCTAGGACCATGGTTGGCAAACTGCAGCTTGCGAGCCACATGGGGCTCTTTGGCCCCTTGAGTGTGGCTCTTCCTAAGCCTTAGGAGTACCCTAGTTAAGTTAAGAACAATGTACCTACCTATATAGTTTAAGTTTAAAAAATTTGGCTCTTAGAAGAAATTTCAATCGTTGTACTGTTGATATTTGGCTCTGTTGACTAATAAGTTTGCCGACCACGGTCCTATGGGGTGTCTGTCCTCAGCGACCGGGTTTTCTGATTGGAGGGTCTGTCTTTGGGGACAAAAAGAGCCCCTGGCTGTCCAGGAATCTGTAGAGTCACCAGCTAGACCAGCGGTTCTCAACCTGTGGGTCGCGACCCCTTTGGTCGTCGAATGACATTTTCACAGGGGTCGCCTAAGACCATGATGAGAGCGAATCATCGATTGGCTGCCTCCTACACACCCCACACCAGGGATCAAGCTTGGCACCTGGGCATGTGCCCTGACCGGGAATCAAACCGGGACCTCCTGGTTATACGTGGATGCTCAACCACTGAGCCACACCCGCTGGGCAGTGGGGGTGGGGTGGGGTGTGGGCAGTGAGAGAAAGAGACAGAAATACTGATTTGTTGTTCCCCTTGATGCATTCATTTGTTGGTTCTTTTTTTTTAAAATATATTTTTATTGATTTCAGAGCGGAAGGAAGAGGGAGAGAGATCGAAACATCAATGATGAGAGAGAACCATTGGTTGGCTGCCTCCTGCATGCCCCCCACTGGGGATTGAGCCCGCAACCTGGGCATGTGCTCTTGACTGGACTCGAACCTGGGACCCTTCAGTCCGCAGGCTGACTCTCTATCCACCGAGCCATACCGGGTAGGGCATTGGTTGATTCTTGTATGTGCCCTAACTGGGGATCGGACTCCAATCTTGACATATTGGGACGACACTCTAACCCACTGAGCTACCCAGCCAGGGCCAGGAAGTGTTTCCTAACAAGCTGGGCTGCACAGGGAGCAGGAACATGACTGTGTCCGGACGAGGGGCGAGGAAGCCTGACCTTCTCGCTGTTCCTTCTGCCAGTCCCCAATGCAGTGACAAATCTCGGGGTCCAGTACCGGACCACCAGCTCCATCACCCTCAACTGGACAGCTCCCCAAGGCCCGGATCACCCTCCCTACACCTACTGGGTCTCCTGGACCATGGAGGGCGGGGTTGCCACGGGGACCCAGAACACCTCGGATACCAGGGTCACAGTGGACGCAATGCAAGCTGGGACCCTGTACACCTTCATCGTGTGGGCGGAGAGGAACGGGGTCAGCAGCAGCAACGCGACCTGCACGGGGGCCACAGGTGAGACCCCGTCTAGGTCCGGGCCCAGCCTACTGGGCGGGGGGGAGAGTGATGGGGCCATGCTGCAAGGTTCCTGGGAGATGAACTGTGCTTGGCGACCCCTCACCGGCCTCATCAGACCTTGAGCTTGTAGGTCTGCCTCCTAGGGCCGTGGTCGGCAAACTGTGGCTCGCGACCACATGGGGCTCTTTGGCCCCTTGAGTGTGGCTCTTCCTAAGCTTTAGGAGGACCCTAATTAAGTTAAGAACAATGTACCTACCTATATAGTTTAAGTTTAAAAAATTTGGCTCTCAAAGGAAATTTCAATCATTGTACTGTTGATATTTGGCTCTGTTGACTAATAAGTTTGCCGACCACGGTCCTATGGGGTGTCTGTCCTCAGCGACTGGGTTTTCTGATTGGAGGGTCTGTCTTTGGGGACAAAAAGAGCCCCTGGCTGTCCAGGAATCTGTAGAGTCACCAGCTAGACCAGCGGTTCTCAACCTGTGGGTCGCGACCCCTTTGGTGGTCGAATGCCATTTTCACAGGGGTCGCCTAAGACCATGATGAGAGCGAATAATCGATTGGCTGCCTTCAACACTCCCCACACCAGGGATCAAGCCTGGCACATGGGCATGTGCCCTGACCGGGAATTGAACCGGGACCTCCTGGTTATACGTGGATGCTCAACCACTGAGCCACGCTGGCTGGGCGGTGGGGGTGGGGTGGGCAGTGAGAGAAAGAGACAGAAATACTGATTTGTTGTTCCCCTTGATGCATTCATTGGTTGATTCTTGTATGTGCCCTGACGCGGGATTGGACTCCAATCTTGACATATTGGGACGACACTCTAACCCACTGAGCTACCCAGCCAGGGCCAGGAAGTGTTTCCTAATAAGCTGGGCTGCACAGGGAGCAGGAACATGACTGTGTCCGGACGAGGGGCGAGGAAGCCTGACCTTCTCTCTATTCCTTCTGCCAGTCCCCAATGCAGTGACAAATCTCGGGGTCCAGGACCAGACCACCAGCTCCATCACCCTGAGCTGGACAGCTCCCCAGGGCCCGGATCACCCTCCCTACACCTACTGGGTCTCCTGGACCATGGAGGGCGGGGCTGCAACGGGAACCCAGAACACCTCGGATACCAGGGTCACAGTGGACGCAATGCAAGCTGGGACCCTGTACACCTTCATCGTGTGGGCGGAGAGGAACGGGGTCAGCAGCAGCAATGAGACCCGCACGGGGGCCACAGGTGAGACCCCGTCTAGGTCCGGGCCCAGCCTACTGGGCTGGGGGGAGAGTGATGGGGCCATGCTGCAAGGTTCCTGGGAGATGAACTGTGCTTGGCGACCCCTCACCGGCCTCATCAGACCTTGAGCTTGTAGGTCTGCCTCCTAGGGCCGTGGTTGGCAAACTGCGGCTCGCGACCACATGGGGCTCTTTGGCCCCTTGAGTGTGGCTCTTCCTAAGCTTTAGGAGTACCCTAATTAAGTTAACAACAATGTACCTACCTATATAGTTTAAGTTTAAAAAATTTGGCTCTCAAAGGAAATTTCAATCATTGTACTGTTGATATTTGGCTCTGTTGACTAATAAGTTTGCCGACCACGGTCCTATGGGGTGTCTGTCCTCAGCGACCGGGTTTTCTGATTGGAGGGTCTGTCTTTGGGGACAAAAAGAGCCCCTGGCTGTCCAGGAATCTGTAGAGTCACCAGCTAGACCAGCGGTTCTCAACCTGTGGGTCGCCACCCCTTTGGTGGTCGAATGACATTTTCACAGGGGTCGCCTAAGACCATGATGAGAGCGAATCATCGATTGGCTGCCTTCAACACTCCCCACACCAGGGATCAAGCCTGGCACCTGGGCATGTGCCCTGACCGGGAATCTAACCGGGACCTCCTGCTTATACGTGGATGCTCAACCACTGAGTCATGCTGGCTGGGCAGTGGGGGGAGGGGGGTTGGCAGTGAGAGAAAGAGACAGAAATACTGATTTGTTGTTCCCCTTGATGCATTCATTGGTTGATTCTTGTATGTGCCCTGACGCGGGATCGGACTCCAATCTTGACATATTGGGAGGACACTCTAACCCACTGAGCTACCCAGCCAGGGCCAGGAAGTGTTTCCTAACAAGCTGGGCTGCACAGGGAGCAGGAACATGACTGTGTCCGGACGAGGGGCGAGGAAGCCTGACTATCTCTCTGTTCCTTCTGCCAGTCCCCAATGCAGTGACAAGTCTCGGGGTCCAGGACCAGACCACCAGCTCCATCACCCTGAGCTGGACAGCTCCCAAGGGCCCGGATCACCCTCCCTACACCTACTGGGCCTCCTGGACCGTGGAGGGCGGGGCTGCCACGGGAACCCAGAACACCTCGGATACCAGGGTCACAGTGGACGCAATGCAAGCTGGGACCCTGTACACCTTCATCGTGTGGGCGGAGAGGAACGGGGTCAACAGCAGCAACGCGACCTGCACGGGGGCCACAGGTGAGACCCAGGCTGTCCGGGCCCAGAATACTGGGCCGGGGGGAGAGTGATGGGGGCCTGGTGCAAGGTTCCTGGGAGACGAACTGTGCTCGGCGACCCCTCACCGGCCTCATCGACCTTGAGCCTGTAGGTCTGCCTCCCCGGGGGTGTCTGGCCTGAGCGACCGGGTTTTCCGATTGGAGGGTCCGTCTTTGGGGACGAAGAGAGCCCGTGGCTGTCCAGGAATCAGAGCAGTCACCAGCTAGACCAGTGGTTCTCAACCTTCTGGCCCTTTAAATACAGTTCCTCATGTTGTGACCCAACCATACAATTATTTTCGTTGCTACTTCATCACTGTCATGTTGCTACTGTGATGAATCGTCATGTAAATATCTGATATGCAGGATGGTCTTAGGCGACCCCTGTGAAAGGGCCGTTTGACCGCCAAAGGGGTCGCGACCCACAGGTTGAGAACCGCTGAGCTAGACGGTCACCCACAGCTTGTCCTGGTGAACTGTTGGGTCCAACGGGGCAGGTGTGGGTCCCAAGAGTGAGAGGCAACAGAATGACCGCAGGGACTTGGTGCCCTGCTGATGCATTGGACCCGGAACTCTTCAGTCTTTGGCCATTTGGGCTAAGAAGACTGAAGTCAACAGAAACGTCTAGGAACTGGTTGTGTGTGGAAGGGTGGTGAGTGGGACCCAGGTATGTGGACTTAGGAGAAAGAGGACCCAGCGACCGTGGTCCCCATCTCTGGGGAAGTATGCGATCCTATGGCTGGGGCACCTGCAGGGAAGGGGAGGTGAGCAGACTCAGTGTGAGGGGCCTTGGGGATCTGCCCCTTGAGTTGTCTGTCTCAATTCTCAGCTCCCAACGAGGTCACAGCTCTGCAGAAGGAAACTCAGACCAACAACTCGATCGCCCTGCGGTGGGAGGCCCCAGCAGACCCCCGCTCTCAGCTCTACATATACTGTGTCCAGTGGGCCGGTGGGGGAGCTTCCCAGGGGGAAGGAGACCCCCAAGGACACCAGGTCGACCAGATAGCCAGGACCAAAGAGACTTGGTATGTGGTGAAGGGCCTGGAACCCGGGACTCCATACAACTTCAGCGTGTGGGCGGAGAGGAGCAACGTAGCTGGTTCCATACAGAGCCTCCGCGCATCCACATGTGAGCTGGCCCCCCTTTTACCTGTTTTTTTGGGGGTGGGGGAGGAGTTTGTGGGTGATGAGAAGTGAGTGGACTACAAATCCCATCAGGCCATGGGGCCCTGACTGTATAAGCTGCAGTGATCCAGAGTGTCAGAGCGCTCATGGGAGTTGTAGTTTGTGGGGCCAGTTGGGAGTCCGTTTGGGAATTTAGAGAGGGAGGGATGAAGAAGTATTTGGGTTTGGGGAAGGGAAAGATGGGCTCCTTGTCGCGGTCACAGAATTGGCATCCCTGGCAGTGAAGTGGGGGAGGGAGGGAACACCATCTTGGCTGGCACCTGGCACCTACAGAGTCCTCTTGTCTCCGCCTCCCAGACCCGGACCCGGTCACCATCATCTCCTGCACCAGCATCTCTAGTGGCTATGGGGTGTCCCTGACCTGGACCTGCCCCCTGGGCGGCTATGAGGCCTTTGAGCTGCAGGTGGGCTGGCAGCAGGTCTCCCGGGACAACGCCTCCTGCGGGAGGGACGTGTTCGTGTCAGACCTCCAGCCGGCTCAGTCCTACGCAGCCACGGTCAGGACCATCTGGGACGGACTGAGGGCCCCAGCTGCCTCCGTGACCTGCCACACGGAGAGTGCAGGTGAGCACAGCCCCAGGGCCACACAGTCTCTCCAGGCCCCCTCAGGCCCTGCGCGGAGGGAGTCTGACCTACCCAGGGGGTCCTTCTTGTTTGCTCGTTTGTGTTTTGTTTTCTGCTGTCTTTAACACAGTCTTATTGAGATGGAAGTCACAGAACATAGAACTCACCCATTTATTTATTTAATTACTTAGAATACATGTTTATGGATTTCAGAGAGGAAGGGAGAAGGAGGGAGAGAAGCATCAATGCTGAGAGAGAAGCATCGATCGGCCGCCTCCCTCACACACCCCACTGGGGACCGAGAGCACATCCCGGGAATGTGCCCTCCACCGGAATCAAACCTTAGACCCTTCAGTCCACAGGCCAACGCTCTATCCACTGAGCCAAACCGGCTAGTGCACGACTCACACATTTAAAGTGCAGAGTGAGCCCTGGCTGGTTTGGCTGAATGGATAGAGCGTCGGCCTGCAGACTGAAGGGTCCCAGGTTCGATTCCAGCCAAGGGCACATGCCTGGGTTGTGGGCTCGATCCCCAGTAGGGGGTGTGCAGGAGGCAGCCAATCCATGATTCTCTCTCATCATTGATGTTTCTATCTATCTCTCCTTCTCCCTTCCTCTCTGAAATCAATAAAAGCATATCTACACTAATAAAAGACAAAGATGCTAATTGACCATACCGTTACTATGCCCTAAGCCATGCCCACCAGCCAGTCAGAGTGGCTATATGCAAATTTACCCAACCAAGATGGCGGCTGGCAGCCACAGAGCTGGAGCAAGCAGGAGGCTTGGTTGCCTGGCTGATGGAGGAAGCCAAGCTTCCTGCCTGCCGTGAGCCGGCTGTGGCCTCCGCTTATGGCAACAAACTTTCAATTATAGAAGACAAATAAATCCCAGATACTTGCCTCCAGCCAGCCTCCACTGAGAATTTGGGTGGCTGGGGGTTGTGGCCAGCCTGAAAACAGCCATCAGCCCCTCACTCAGACTGGCCAGGCACCCCAGGGGGAACCCCCACCCTGAAGGGGCTGTGGCCAGCCTGAAAACAGCCATCAGCCCCTCACCTAGGCTGGCCAAGAACCCCAGCGGGGATCCCCACCCTGAAGGGGCTGTGGCCAGCCTGCAAACAGCCACCAGCCACTCACCCAGGCTGGCCAGGCACTCCTAAAAAATAAAAGGGTAATATGCAAATTGACCCTAACAGCAGAACCACTGGGAATGACTGGTCACTATGACACACACTGACCACCAGGGGGCAGAGGCTCAATGCAGGAGCTGACCCCTGGTGGTCAGTGCGCTCCCACAGAGGAGAGCTCTGCTCAGCCACAAGCCAGGCTGACGACTGCCAGTACAGCGGTGGTGCTGGGAGCCTCTCCCGCCTCCTCAGCAGCGCTAAGCATGTCCAACTGAAGCTTAGGCTTGCTTCCTGCTGGCAAGTGGACATTCCCCAAGGGCTCCCGGGCTGCCAGAGGGATGTCTGAGTGCCAGCTTAGGCCCAATCCCCCAGGGAGTGGGCCTAAGCCAGCAGGTGGTCATCCCCCGAGTGGTCCCAGACTGCGAGAGGGCACAGGCCGGGCTGAGGGACCCCCCGAGTGCACAAATTTTTGTGCACCCAGCCTCTAGTTTAAAAATAAAAAAGGTGGAGCCGAAACCGGTTTGGCTCAGTGGATAGAGTGTCGGCTTGCGGACTGAAAGGTCGCAGGTTCGATTCCGGTCAAGGGCATGTACCTTGGTTGCAGGCACATCCCCAGTAGGAGATGTGCAGGAGGCAGCTGATCGATGTTTCTCTCTCATCGATGTTTCTAACTCTCTATCTCTCTCCCTTCCTCTCTGTAAAAAATCAGTAAAATATATAAAAAAAAAAAATAAAAAAAAATAAAAAAATAAAAAAGGTGGAGGCAGGAGAGATGGGGTGTCAGGAGCTAGGACCTGGGCCCTAATGGTTCCCCATGCCTCCTCCCCCAGGGGTCATCGCCGGGGCCATTGTCGGGGTCCTGCTGTTCCTCACCCTGGTGGGCCTGCTGATCTTCTTCCTGAGGAGGTGAGACTCCGTGCAGGGCTGGGCCGACCGAGCGCCCGGAGGTGGGGGCCGGGGCGGGATCAGGACCTATGGTCCCAACCTCAATTCCTGAGCCTCTCCTCCCAACATCCTTTCCCCAGGTATAAAAAGAGCCTGAAGGAGCCAGCACTCAGGTGAGCCGGCGGTTGGGGGAGCATCCAGAAGGATCTCTGAAAGGTCACATTGGGAGGGTGTTCGCTGGGCAGTGGGTGGGTCAGAGGGCAGGATCGGAGACCCCTCCCCCCACACTAGTCTCAGATGGGCCTGATGCCCTCAGTGACAGGGGTCACAGCCCTTTCTTAAAAAATATATATTTTATTTTATTTTATTATTATTTTTTTAAAATATATTTTATGGATTTTTCACAGAGAGGAAGGGAGAGAGATAGAGAGTTAGAAACATTGATCAGCTGCCTCCTGCACATCTCCCACTGGGGATGTGCCCGCAACCCAGGTACATGCCCTTGACCGGAATCGAACCTGCGACCTTTCAGTCCGCAGGCCGACGCTCTATCCACTGAGCCAAACCGGTTTCGGCGATTTTTTAAATATTTTTATTTCTGCTCTACCCACTGAACAAAACTGGCCGGGGCCACAATTAATTTAAAGGATTTTAAAATTGATTATTTTAAAAGTATATTTTATTGATTTTTTTACAGAGAGGAAGGGACAGGGAGAGAGACTTAGAAACATACCTGAGAGAGAAACATCGATCAGCTGCCTCCCGCATGCCCCCTACTGGGGATGTGCCCGCAACCAAGGTACATGCCCTTGACCAGAATCGAACCTGGGACCCTTCATTCCGCCTGCTGACGCTCTATCCGCTGAGCCAAACTGGTTAGGGCTTAAAATTGATTTTTAAAGAGAGAGGAAGCGAGAAGGAGAGAGAGAAATATAATAGCTATAGGCTGCCTCCTGCACTCCCCCCACCCCCAACCTCCCAGGATCCTGACCAGGAACAGAACCGGCAACCTTTTGGTGCACGGGACGCACCCAAATGTCGGAGCCACACCGGCCACGCTCATTTTTGTGTTTTGTTTAGTTTTAATTCATTCACAAAAGGAAAAGGTGTATCTTCTCCATTTCAAGCCACTCCCCTCCCCCTGGCCTCCAACCCCCTCCTTGCCTTCCTTTCTGGGACCCTCTCCTCTTTCCCTTGAGCTTGTAACCATGCTAACCTCCCGCATGCAAAAGAAATCTTCTGCCGAAACCGGTTTGGCTCAGTGGATAGAGCGTTGGCCTGCGGACTGAAAGGTCCCAGGTTCGATTCCGGTCGGGGGCATGTACCTGGGTTGCGGGCACATCCCTAGCAGGAGATGTGCAGGAGGCAGCTGATTGATGTTTCTCTCTCATCGATGTTTCTAACTCTCTATCTCTCTCCCTTCCTCTCTGTAAAGAATCAATAAAATATATTAAAAAAAAAAAAAAAAAAGAAAGAAATCTTCTGACCCCGTGTCACTGCAACCTCAGCAGACTGCAGGGTCTCAGGTTCAATTCCAGTCGAGGGCACGTACCTCGCCAGCCAATCCGTTTCTCTCTCAGATTGCCGTGTTTCTCTCTCTCTCCCCCCTCTTTTCCACTCGCTGGAAAAAAAGAAAAAAGAAATTAATTTCGGTAAAACCGTACAGGGTTTGTCCTTTTGTGAGTGGCTTAACTCAGCACAGTGTCCCCGGGTCCATCGGCGCCATGTGGGTGTGGGAATCCCCCCTCTCTGAAGGCGGGGTAGTTCCCCACTGTGTGGTGGGGACACACGGCTTATTCACTCACCCACCGATGGACACGTGGCTGCTTCCAGCTTCCGTCCTGTGAGGGATGCTGCTCCGAATGGGAGTGCACACTCACCTTTTCCAGAGACTGCTTTCCGTTCTCTTCCGTATACATCCAGGAGTGGAATTGATGAATGAAAATCACCTTATTATTTCGAGAGGCCCAGTGCATGAAATTCGTGCACGGGAAGGGGGGGGTGGTCCCTCAGCCCGGCCTGCACCCTCTCCAATCAGGGACCCCTCAGGGGATGTCTGACTGCCGGTTTAGTCCTGATCCCTCAGGGATCGCGGGACTAAACCGGCAATCAGACATCCCTCTCGCAATCCAGGACCACTGGCTCCTAACCACTCACCTGCCTGCCTGCCTAATGCACCCAACGACCCTCCCCTGCTGGCCTGGTCGCCCCCAATGGCCCTCCCCTGCAGGCCTGGTCGCCCCCAATGGCCCTCCCCTGCTGGCCTGGTCGCCCCCGACAGGGAAGGGCAGTTGTGGGCGATCAGGTGGGGCCAAGTGGGGGGAGGCTTCAAGGGCTCCAGGCTTCTGGTTATGAGATACATATGTCCTGAGGACGTGAACAACAATAAAGGCACCTTTTCTCCATCCCAGCAGCACAGGGTTAAGGCGGCTAAAATCTCTGTGTGTCTCCCCCTTCCCCCTCCCCCTCCCCACTCCCCAGCTTCCCAAAGGATATCCCTGCAGCTGACTTTGCTGACCACGTCCGCAAAAATGAGAAGGACAGCAACTGCGGCTTTGCTGAGGAGTACCAGGTGGGTGGGGGTGGGGGTGGGGCCAGGGAGCACCAGGTGGGTGGGGGGTGGGGGGGGCAGGGGAGCACCAGGTGGGTGGGGTGGGGGTGGGGCAGGGGAGCACCAGTTGGGTGGGGTGGGGGTGGGGCAGGGGAGCACCAGGTGGGGGGTGGGGTGGGGCAGGGGAGCACCAGGTGGGTGGGGGTGGGGGTGGGGCAGAGGAACAGCAGGGGTGGGGGTGGGGGTGGGGCAGAGGAGCAGCAGGTGGGTGAGGGGTGGGGCAGGGGAGCAGCAGGTGGGTGGGGGTGGGGGTGGGGCAGAGGAGCAGCAGGTGGGTGAGGGGTGGGGCAGGGGAGCAGCAGGTGGATGGGGGGGTGGGGCAGGGGAGCACCAGGTGGATCGGGGCGTGGGGCAGGGGAGCACCAGGTGGGTGAGGACAGAGGGGCTCAGCTGAGCCCCACATGCCCATCCAGACCTCCCCCCTCTTGTTATTAAACAAAATCCGCGCCCAGTGCCTGTCCACTGGCACAGCCATCCTCAGGCTGACTGTGTCTGTGCGGTGGGATCTGTGGCAGGGCCCGTGTCAGCCCTGGAGACACACGTCGGTTTTCCCCTGACACCCCCTCTCTAGGCAGCCCCCCTCTTGCCCCCACGGTCTCCTCAATCATCCCAGTGCGCACACGTTCCAATCCTGGGGGCCCACAGACCTCCAGGGCACAAGGAGTAAATGGGGGGGTGGCCAAGGGAGCCCGGGGGGATCCTTGGGGAAAGCTGGAGGGACCCTTACACCGTGCACCCCTCCTCCTCTGCCTGCGCCCCAGCACCTGGCCATGGAGGGCCACGGCCAGTCTCAGACGGTGGCCTCGGCTCCAGAAAACAGCGCCAAGAACCGCTACCGGAACGTGCTGCCCTGTGAGTCTGTGTCTTTTAATATTTTTATTGATGTCAGAGAGGGAGGGAGAGAAACATCAATGAGAGAGTCATGGCTCGGCTGCCTCCTGCACGCCCCCCACTGGGGATCGAGCCCGCCACCCGGGCCTGTGCCCCGACCGGGAATCGAACCGTGACCTCCAGGTTCCTAGGTCGACGCTCATCCCTGAGCCACCCTGTGAGTCTTGAGCTGCTGCTGGCTTTGTCCCCAGGCATGACTTTGCCAGCTCCCTGTCCCTCCGGCCTGGCCCTGACCCCCTGGGACATGCGGGCTCCGCCCCCTGGGAGCTCCGGGTGTCTGTCCGCCCTTCAGCCTGACTCCTGTCTCCCTCTCTGCCCGCCTCGCTCCTCCCCAGACGACTGGTCCCGCGTGCCTCTGCGGTCCCTCGGAGGGGCCCCGGGGTCTGACTACATCAACGCCAGCTTCATGCCCGTAGGTCCCCCTGGGAGCAGGAATGGGGGGAGGGGGCCCGAGAAGCTCAGGGCCCCAGGGGTCACCACTGCCCATCTCCCCCCCGCCCAGGGTCTCTGGAGCCCCCGGGAGTTCATTGCGACCCAGGGCCCCCTGCCCCAGACGGTGGGCGACTTCTGGCGCCTGGTGTGGGAGCAGCAAAGCCACACCCTCGTCATGCTGACCAACTGTGTGGAGTTGGGCCGGGTGAGCAGACTGACCCCCAAGATCCATCCATGACCCCACCACCACCGCCCCCTGACACTGATCCCAGTGTGGACCCTGCCTCACACCCCAGGATCCCCTCCCGTGGGACCCCAACCTCCCCCATCGCCCCCAGCCCATCCCGTGCCCACCTGTGGGGTGAGGCCGATCCCAGTGACCTTGGGACCCAGGCTTCTCCTGGCGAGGTTGGACCTGCACACCCAGCCGCCATGGGGGGGCCTGGGCAGGTTCCCTGGGCCCCCCGTGCCCTGACCCTGCGGTCCTCCCCCAGGTGAAGTGTGAGCATTACTGGCCTCTGGACGCCCAGCCCTGCACCCACGGGCACCTGCAGGTGACCCTGGAGGGGGAGAAGGTGATGGAGAACTGGACAGTCCGAGACCTGAAGCTGCGACATGTGAGTCTTCCCCCCACACACACACCCGGCACCTCAATTCCTCCCCTAGGACATTCCGGGAAGTCCCCTCCCCACAGCTCGCCGGGACCACGGGGTGCCCCAGGGATGCCCCTCACCACCACCACAGTCCGCAGCCAGGCCCCTCTCCCCCGTTCTGAGCTCTCCCCCGCACCCCTCACCCCCGGTCTAGACGCAGGAGCAGAAGACTCTGTCGGTGCGACAGTTCCACTACGTGGCCTGGCCGGACCATGGCGTCCCCCACTCCCCGGACCCCTTGCTGGCCTTCTGGAAGGTGCTCAGGCAGTGGCTGGACAAGACCCCGGAGGGAGGCCCCCCCATCGTGCACTGCAGGTAAGGACCACCCCGACCCTGTCCCCAGGCCTCGCGTGCCCTGACCCAGACATCCTCTCTCTCCCCGGTGAAGGTCTCGGGTTCGATTCCCGGTCAGGGCACATGCCTGAGTTTACTTGTGAGAGATGCCCCCTGGGGACTCCAAAAAGGGGTGATTTGGGTGCAAGGGAACTTGTAGAGGAGGGAGAGGGCGGTGGAGACAGAGGTAAGGGAGGCAGCGTGGAAAGCAGGGTCCTGATGAGAAGACGGGAAGGAAAAGGAGAAGGTAAAGGAGGAGAAGGCCTGCCTGAGGAGGAGGGGCAGGGAGGAGGCGTGGAGAACGGGAGGGAGAAGCACCTGAAACTCCTCCCTGGGCTCCTGTGCCGGCCTCAGCCCTCCCTCCAGGTGCTGTTTATGCTGGAGCCTCTCAGATAACATTTCACGGGACGTAAGTCAGAGGAGGACGAGGAAGGGGTGCTTCTGAGTGACAGGGAGGGAGGGAGAGGGAGAGAGAGAGAGAGAAACGTTTCTTGCTTCCTGCACACCCCCCACTGGGGATTGAGCCCGAAACTCAGGCATGTGCCCTGCCCAGAACTGAACCGGTGGGAGGGGTCCCAGTGGGAGGGGTCCCAGTGGGAGGGGTCCGGTGGCCTTGTGGTGCACAGGATGGTACCCAACCAACTCCAACGGAGCCACACCGGCCAGGGTTCTTTGATCTCAGGGAGGAAGGGAGAGGGAGGGAGAGATAGACACATCCACGATGAGAGACAATCATGGATCGGCTGCCTCCTGCACGCCCCCTACTGAGGACCGAGCCTGCAACCCAGGCATGTGCCCTTAACCGGAACCGAACCCGGGACCCTTCAGTCCGCAGGCCGGTGCTCCATCCACTGAGCCACACCGGCCAGGGCCTGCGTGGGGCTCCTAACCTGTCTGCCCCATGGTGCGCTAACACCTGCCTGGCCCCGGCAGAGCGCCCTCTGGAGGCGCCTCCGCAGACTGCCGTCCCTTCCCCCCAGTGCAGAGGGGTTGAGCCTCGCTGTGCAGCTGTGCAGAGAGTGAGCTGCAGAGCCTTAGCTGGAGCCATAAAAAGGCATGAAGCTCAGGTTCAGGAGATGGGGGGGCGGGGGTGGGGGGGGTGGGGGAACCTTGGAAGCGGCAGGCCGAGTGAGAGAAGCCAGACGCCGCAGGTCACCGTGGGCGACCCTGTTTACACGCAATGCTCGGAGCAGGCCAGCGCGCCAGGGAACACAGAGGCGGTTGCCAGGGGCGGGAGGCAGAGGAGGGTGGGCAGTGAGCGCCCATGGGCGTGGCGCCTCCTTCGGGCGAGAGGAGTGTTTGGGAAAATGGCCAGAGGTCATGCTGGCCCAGCATTGCCAACACCGCCATTGCATTGTTTAAAGTGGTGAGTTTTACGTGTAAATTTTTAAAAAATATATGTTCGCATTGATTTTAGAGACAGAGGAAGGGAGAGCGAGAGAAAGAGAGAGATCCGTGAGAGAGAGAAACACCGTCCCCATCGATCGGCTGCCTCCTGCACGCCCCTTCCTGGGGATCAGGCCCACAACCCCGGGCTCGTGTCCTGACCGGGAATCGAACCAGCGATCTTTGGTGCACGGGATGATGCTCAATCACTGAGCAGCATGGCCAGGGGTTAAAAATTTTTTTATTTGCCCTGGATGGTTTGGCTCTGGATAGAGCATTGACCTGTGGACTGAAGGGTCGCGGGTTCGATTCCGGTCAAGGGCACAGGCCCGGGTTGTGGGCTTGATTCCCAGTAGGGGGCATGCAGGAGGCAGCTGGTCAATGATTCTCATCATTGATGTTTCTTTTTTTTAAAAATATATTTTATTGATTTTTTACAGAGAGGAAGGGAGAGGGATAGAGAGTTAGAAACATCAATGAGAGAGAAACATCGATTCAGCTGCCTCTTGCACATCTCCTACTGGGGATGTGCCCGAAACCAAGGTACATGCCCTTGACTGGAATCGAACCTGGGATCCTTCAGTCCGCAGGCCGATGCTCTACCCACTGAGCCAAACCGGTTAGGGCTCATCAATGATGTTTCTGTCTCTCCCTTTCCCTTCCTCTCTGAAATCAATAAAAAATATATTAAACAAAAAAACAAAAATCAGACCCCCGCCCTCTGTCTCAAAAATCCCTCCCGTGACCTGACCCTCCCTCTCCCCGCCCAGCGCCGGCGTGGGCCGCACGGGCACCCTCATCGCCCTGGACGTCCTGCTGCGCCAGCTGGAGTGCGAGGGGGTGGTGGGGCCCTTCAGCTTCGTGAAGAAGATGCGGGAGAGTCGGCCCCTGATGGTGCAGACCGAGGTGACTGGGGTCTTTGGGGGATGGGGCGGCGGGTGGAGGTGGAATCCGGGGTGAAGCAGGCCACCGCTCAGGAGGGCCCCCCTCACCGCCCCCTCTGCCCCTCCCCAGGCCCAGTACGTCTTCCTGCACCAGTGCCTCCTCCGGTTTCTGCAGCAGTCGGCCCCGCCGCCCACCCAGAAGAACGAGGCCGTATATGAGAACCTGGTCTTCGAGAACGATGAAGCCGTCAATGTTTAGGGGAAGCTGAGCTTCAGGGCCTGGAGACCCTAGCCCAGCCAGACTCACACTCAGGATCCAGACTTCCGTCCAGATTCCTGGACCCCTGGGACAGCAAGGGGCTGGGGTCCCAGACTCCTGGGCCTGGAGGAGGGGGGGCTGGCAGCCCTGGGGGAGAGAGGTCCGGTGGGAGCCAGGATCCTGGTTCCATGAAGGAGGAGAGGCCAGGGGGCTAGGATGTCCTAGTTCTCCGTGGGAGGAGGAGACCAGGGCCCCCTTGGGCTGCAGGGTCTCCCAGAAACAAGCTGGATTCTGAGGAAGGAAGGAAGGGATGAGGGTCCCGGGTTCAGGTTCTGGCCACCCAAGGAGTAAGGTAGGCAGGATCCCACTTTTCACTCCAGAAACCAAATCTCCTAAGACCTCAGGTTCCCAGCACCCATTCCCTGTACATATTTTCCGCCTCCATCCCATAACTTATTAAATCACTATTCTCTGCAGAAATACTTGCCCCAGTGGGTTTCTGGGTCTGGGAATAATCTGGGGGTGGTGTCCCAGGGATGGGGTTCTCAGGCACTGAGGCGTGAGTCCTAGGGAGGTAGTTAGGGGGACCCACAGGTTTGCACCCGAAAAAGAGCAGGTGCGGATGGCGTAGAAGGCTGCCTGCCCAGAGTCCCACATCCATGGCCATGTGCACGGGTTCCCTGGGGCTGGTGTCCTGGGCCTGGAGATGGGGGGACCTTGAAGGGGGAGGAGGGATTTGCCTGGGAGACACTTTCACAATGAGTCTGGCATCTGGATATCTGAATACAGTGGGGCCTTGACTTACGAGTACTCCTTCCCGAGACCAAGCTAGTTAAGGAGCTCATTAACTCAAATTACTCTATCAACTCAATGCAAAAAATCGGCGGAGAGACAGCTGGTATCAAAAAAACTCGTTGGTCGGGACACTCGTAAATCAAGGCCCCACTGTACTAGGGAGAGAGGGGCTGCTGGCTGCCAGGTGGCTGGGTGAGAAGGCAGGAAATATGGGGACCAGGATGAAATCGCTGGGGGGCTCCTGGCTGGGGGCGGGGCGGGGTTCTCCACCTACTCAGGACTGAACACGCACGCGCTGGCGCAACCACACACACACACACACGTACACACACGCGCACACACATACACACGTCTCCACACACGGCGTCTCCGCCCAGCCGCGCCCCCGCCCACCGCTCTCCACTATCAGCACCGCGGACAGCGCCGCCCGCCTGCGTCAGTCCGGCCGCGCCGGGGTGTCTCCGGGGGAGGGTCCTGCGCGGCCGCTGAGCAGGTAAGGAGCTGCGGGGATCCCCTCCCGAAGCCGCATCCTCACTCCCATCCCGAGAGGGACAGGCGGTGGGGGCATGGGGGTACCGGGAGAGGGACCGACAGAGGGCGTGGGAGGGCTGGAGCCGGAAGGGGGAGACAGGTGTGGGGACCAAGAGCCAGAGGGGAGGGAGGGGCAGGCCCGGGGCGAGAGTGAGGGACCCCGGGAGACAGAGACCAGACAACCGGCGGCGGCGGGCAGGGGAGACCCAGGGGGAACCGGCGGGGGAGAGGCCGTGGGGGAGCGGACGGCGGGAGGGAGTCCAGAGGGAGGGGTGGACGCCGCGACGGTCACGAGGACAGGTGTGAAGACAGTGCTCGGGGTGCGCGGGAGGCACGAACAGGCCGAGAAGGACGTGGGAGCCGGGCAGAAGCAGCAGGGCACCCCCACCCCCGCGACCCCCACACTGCCCGGAAGAGTGGGAGAGGAAGAGACCGAGTCCCCGCCTCCATGGCCAGATGTGGAGGAGGGGCCAGCTGTGGGGCCCGTCCCTCCCACCTTCGCTGGTCCCGGGATCCAGGTCTGGGGTTCCAGGCCCAACAGAGAACTGAGTCAGCGGGCCTCTCCCCCGAAACCCCCCGGAGACTCGTCTTTAGTCTGTGGTGCCCAGCCCGTTGTCGTGGCAACAGGCCGTTGCCGGGGCAACCAGAGTGACTCCCACCCCGGCCCAAGCGGAGCCAGGCGTTGCTCTGGGCAACTGGGTGCGATGGTTCCCACGCTCGCCTTCGCCCACTTCCGATTCAGGCCCTGGAAAGGCGCAAAGAAAGGGGACAAGTCAGCGGGATTCCTGCGGGGACCTGGGACCGAGGAGGCGTTCCTTTGGGATGGAACTAAGTCCTGGAACGCACCCCCAGCGCACTCCCTCCTTCTCGGGGAGGCTGAAACTACAACCCCCAACATGCCTTGCGGCGGCGGGCCGACTCCCGTGTGGCCGGTCGCCCAGGGTGCCAATGGGAGTTGTAGTTCTTTGTTGTTCGGAGGACTCAATGGTTGCACGGGTGGGCGTGGGAGGCTAGGGCGCTTGGGTGCCTCCGCAGAAAGGACCGTAGGACCCCGCCGCCATGTTTCCGGAGCCCCCAACCCCGGGGCCTCCAGCGTCCGACACGCCTCCGGACTCAAGTCGCATCAGCCACGGCCCTGGTGAGCCGGATCCGGGGTTGGAGCGGAGGGAAAGTCGGGCCAGGATTTACTGGGGCGGGATTCGGACGGGTGTGCTTGGCGGGTGGCAAATCCGGATGGGATCCTGGTTGGAATCCTGGGCTGGAATCTAAATGAAATGGAAAAAGAACAGGTTTGCCACCAAAAATAAATAAATAAATAAATAAATAAAACAAACATACAAACAAAAACACAACAAAAAAAAGACAAAACAAAACAAAACAAAAATCCTGCACGAGAACCAGACCAAGGGGCCGTGGAATGGAACGGGCTCTTGCATTGGTGAATTAGAGGGTCCACCTGTCCCTCTTTTATTTTTTTTTTATTTTTTAAAAATATTTTTTATTGATTTCAGAGAGGAAGGGCGAGGGAGAGCATCAATGATGAGAGAATCATGGATGGGCTGCCTCCTGTACGCCCCCTACTGGGGATCTAGCCCACAACTGGGGCATGTGCCTGACCCAGAATTGAACCCTGACCTCCTGGTGGATAGCTGTTCATGCTCTACCACTGAGCCACAGCCGCTGAGCTGTCCCTTTTTAAAGATAGGGAAACAGGTTCGGGGAGGGGTTCAGGCTTCCAAAAGCATCAGGAGTTGAGCAGAAACATTAGAATGGGGGATGAAATTGATGGGCAAAAAAAAAAAATCAGACGTTGTCAGGCTGGGTTAGGGCAGCAAATGGCTTCATAGGTGAGATCACACCGACGTCCCAGGGCCTCAGTGTCTCTGTGTCCTTGTCCTCCGCAGTGCCCCCCTGGGCCCTGGCCACAGTCGTGCTGGTCTCAGGCCTCCTCGTCTTCAGCTGCTGTTTCTGTCTGTACCGGAAGCGTTGTCGGAGGCGGTTGGGCAAGAAGAGCCAGGCCCAAGCCCAGGTCCACCTTCAGGAAGTGAAGGAGCTGGGCCGGAGTTACATAAACAAGGTGTGGCCCTGCCCCTTCCCTCCTCTGCCTACCTTGTTCGCCCATCTCCTCGGTGGGTCTAGCTAGCCCCAAACCGGACCCTGGGGAACTGGAGATGGGCCAGACCTAGTAGTCACTGGTCACAAGAACCTTTCGGTTTGGCCGGGAAGTCAGACACTCACATACTCACAATGCAAGGTGGTATGTGCCCCATCAGAGGCAGCACCAGGCGTATGGAAACACCTCACAGCCTAGAAGGTCCCTGAAGGCTTCCCAGAGCAGGTGACTTCTGTGCTGAGACCCGCAGAGTTGACTGAGAGCAGAGGGAAGGACATTCTAGCCCAAAAAGCATATGCTGGGGCCTGGAATCCAGGTTCTCGGGGGTATTTGGGGAACAATGGGTCACTTTCACAATGGGCGGAGCATGTACTGTGCTCTAGAGCAGCGGTTCTCAACCTGTGGGTCGCGACCACTTTGGGGGGTCGAACGACCCTTTCACAGGGGTCACCTAAGACCATCGGAAAACACATATATAATTACGTATTGTTTTTGTGATGAATCACTATGCTTTAATTATGTCAATTTGTAACAATGAAATTGGGGGTCACCACAACATGAGGAACTGTATTAAAGGGTCACGGCATGAGGAAGGTTGAGAACCACTGCTCTAGAGTGAGGCGGCTGGAGAGCCAGCAGTGTCCACGGAAGGAGGGTGATTGGGGGCCATGGAAGCTTTTAGAAGGACAGGGGCAGGGTCAGTTAGATGTTAGGAATCCATGTGGAGGACAGACATGGGGGATGGAGCCCAGGGAGGAGGAAGGCGCCATGAGTTGGAAGAAGCGATTGGTGTGGGAAATGCAAGGCTACAGGTGCAAGGACTTGAGCATCAGGTCTCTGGATGCAACATGCAATGGTGCTCACCTGGGAGCCAGAGGGCCCTGCATTTCCAACCAGCTGTGTGGCCTTGGGGAATTCTCTGTCCCTCTCTGAGCCTCAAGTGCATGGTCCATAATTCATATTTCCCCCTCTTCTCTTCTCAAAAGTAGTGGCCACAATTCTTACCCATAGTGATGCCCTTCAGGGTTTTGGTACCCAGTTTCCATCTCTATCCCTTAAGCCAGTGATGGTGAACCTTTTGAGCTCGGCGTGTCAGCATTTTGAAAAACCCTGACTTAACTCTGGTGCTGTGTCACATATAGAAATTATAAAACAAAGACATATTTTTGATATTTATTTTATATATTTAAATGCCATTTAACAAAGAAAAATCAACCAAAAATTGATTTCGCGTGTCAGAGGTTTGCCATCACTGCCTTAAGCCAATGACGTCTAGAGACCATTGTGTCAGAATCACCTCTGGTGTCATTGAAAGGCAAATTCTGGGTCTCGCACCAAACCTGCTGAGTCAGAATCTCTGAAGTGAAGGCATTCTGCCACCCCAATCAGGAGAATTCTGCTTCACGTTGGATTTTGAAAATGGGCGGCCTGGGTTAAGGAAAAGTCTTCTGACTTTGCTGTTCTAGTTTAGAAGGGCAAATACACAGTGAATACGCCATTTCGCCCCCACAGTTTGCCTTTGTCTAAACAACGTAGCAATTTGCACAACCCCGATACATCCACGAGAAATAAAATCTCCTGCCTCCTTCCTGAAGGCAGGGAAACCCTATTACACTTGTTTTTCTAGGCTACCATGGGTGCCTATTTCACCACTGTCTCTAGCCCCAACCATAGCAGACATCACTAATCGAACACGGAAAATACACTACACCCATGTGTTGCTATGGCTATTCCCTCCCCAGTGGCAGACATCACCAATCAAACACCGAGAAAAACACTACACCCTGTGCTGCTATGGTTATTCCCACCCCAGTGGCAGACATCACTAATCGAACACCACGCTGCTTAGTCCCCAAGTGCTCAGGTATAACCTAGAGATGTGTGAGTCTCCCTTGGCTTCTGGGCCTGGAGGATGACACCCTCAGGGGAAGAGTTTACCCGCCCTTGCCCCTGGCTCCCCAAGGTGCAACCGGAAGTGGAGGAGCTGGAGCCGGCACTATCCGGGCCAGGGCAGCAGGTGGCGGAGAAGCACGAGCTGGGACGACTGCAGTACTCCCTGGATTACGATTTCCAGAGTGGCCAGGTGGGTGCGGAGGAGGGGGGACTTTGGAGAGGAGGGACCCAGGAGGGTGCAGAAGGGCAGCTCAGACCAGGGATCCTCCTCCCTGTGCAGCTGCTGGTGGGCATCCTGCAAGCCGAGGGGTTGGCGGCCTTAGATCTGGGCGGTTCTTCGGACCCCTACGTGCGGGTTTACCTGCTACCAGACAAGCGGAGGCGGCATGAGACCAAGGTGCATCGGCAGACGCTGAACCCACACTTTGGGGAGACCTTCGCCTTCAAGGTGAGCACCAGGCCTCAGGGCCCCACCCTGGGCAGCCGGCCCCCGTCCCTGGGACACTGGGGACCAACCCCTTCAGCTTTTTCTTTCCTTTAAAACAGAATTGTGGCCCTGACCGGCCAGGTTCGATTCCGGTCAAGGGCATGTACCTTGGTTGCGGGCATGTCCCCAGTGGGGGGCGTGCAGGAGGCAGCTGATCGATGTTTCTCTCTCATCTATGTTTCTAACTCTCTTTACTTCTCCCCTCCTCTCTGTAAAAAAATCAATAAAATATATTTTTTAAAAAACCCTTAGATACAGCATCAGTAAGCAGGTAGGTTTTTTTTAAAAAAAAAACAAAACATTTTTATTAATGTCAGAGAGGAAGGGAGAGATAGAAACATCAACGATGAGAGAGAATTATTGATTGGTGCCTCCTGCACGCCCCACACGGGGACTCGAACCCGAAACCTGGGCATGTGGCCTTCTGGTTCATAGGTCGATGCTCCACCACTGAGCCACGCTGGCCGCCTCCTTCAGCTTTTTCTGGAGGCAGCCACAGCTCAGCTGGCCGCTAACAGCCCTGGAGACTATTCATTCCACTGACCCCTGGGCTGTCCCTTTGGGATTCCATGGACCCCCTCACCTGTTCCCTGCGCCCCCTGCTACCCCACTTGTCGCTTCCCACTCTGATCTGCCTTCGTGCTCTCTCTGCACTCGCTCCCCACCCAGGTCCCCTACGTGGAGCTGGGAGGCAGGATCCTGGTCATGGCGGTTTACGACTTCGACCGCTTCTCCCGCAATGATGCCATCGGGGAGGTGCGGGTCCCCATGAGCTCCGTGGACTTGGGGAGACCCGTGCTGGCCTGGCGGGAGCTGCAGGCGGCTCCGAAGGAGGAGGTGAGCGAGCGTGGCCACGCCCTGCGTCTGGCCACGCCCACTAAAGCCCCGGGCCAATCAGACACAGACCTCCAGGGCCAATCAGATCACAGACTTCCAGGGCCAATCAGACACAGACCTCCAGGACCAATCAGATCACAGACTTCCAGGGCCAATCAGCTCACAGACCTCCAGGACCAATCAGATCACAGACCTCCAGGACCAATCAGATCACAGACCTCCAGGGCCAATCAGATCACAGACTTCTCGGGCCAATCAGATCACAGACCCCCAGGACCAATCAGATCACAGACCGCCAGGGCCAATCAGCTCACAGGCTCCAGACCCAGGCTCCAGCCCTTGCACCTGCAGCAGGGGGCTGCCTCCCGGTGTTAACTCTGGACCCTTCCATTCCCAGGCGGGCGGGAGGGGTGGGAGGGGGGAGAGTGGTCGCAGGGGGGGCGGATGTGCAGGGGGGCGGCTCCGGTGACCCGTCCCTCTCCGGCCTTTAGCAGGAGAAGCTGGGGGATATCTGCTTCTCCCTCCGCTACGTCCCCACTGCCGGGAAGCTCACCGTCATCGTGCTGGAGGCTAAAAACCTGAAGAAGATGGACGTGGGAGGGCTGTCAGGTGTGTGGGAAGCAAGGCAGTGGGGTGGCGGTGCATGAGGGGCCCCCTCGCTGAGGGTGAGAGTTTCCGGGCCCCGGGGGGGGTCTCCTGGGGGAGAGGGGGGTCCCGGCTGCCTTGGGAGGATACAGATTCGATCTGGGCACAACAAGAGGGGACCTGAGGGGTTGTTCCAGTGTAGTCTCATGTGTCCCCCTCAATCCGATCCCTCCACTAAGCAGGGGGGCGGGGCCCTGAGACGCCTCCTCTCTCCCCAGATCCGTACGTCAAGGTTCACCTGCTGCAGGGCGGCAAGAAGATGCGGAAAAAGAAGACAACCATCAAGAAGAACACGCTGAACCCCTATTACAACGAGGCCTTCAGCTTCGAGGTGCCCTGTGACCTGGTCCAGGTGAGCGAGGCCTGCCTGGGCCCCCGCAGAGCAGCCCAGGCCCTTAGGAACCCCGCCGCTAGAGGAAGGGAGACTCCTTAGCTACCTCCAGAGACCAGGGGGCCCCAGGTTGTGTCCCCAGTTTCCTCCTAGGAGCAGCGGGTTGCCCCGCCCCCTCAGGAGCCAAGGTAACTGAGAAAAAGATTTCTCCACCACCCTTTAGCAGTGGTTCTCAACCTGTGGGTCGCGACCCCTTTGGCGGTCGAACGACCCTATCACAGGGGTTGCCTAAGACCATCCTGCATATCTGATATTTACATGACGATTCATCACAGTAGCAACATGACAGTGATGAAGTAGCAACGAAAATAATTGTATGGTTGGGGGTCACAACATGAGGAACTGTATTTAAAGGGCCAGAGGTTGAGAACCACTGCTTTAGAGACAGGTCCCTCCACTCACTTAAGAGGCCTGGAGGTAGCCAGGCGGGTGTGGCTCAGTGGCTGAGCATCGACCTATGAACCAGGAGGTCACGGTTCGATTATCTGTCAGGGCACATGCCCAGGTTGTGGGCTCGATTCCCAGTGTGGGGGCGTGCAGGAGGCAGCCGATCGATGATTCTCTCTCGTCATTGATGTTTCTATCCTTTCTCCCTCTTCCTTCCTCTCTGAAATAATAATTTTTAAAAATGTCTATATTTACGACTCCTGGAGGTTTGCCTCCCTTTAGGAGGCAGCTCCCTAAGGAGGCCCCTAACAATCCCTCAGCAACGAGGCCCTGAGGGTTTCTCCCCTGTGGAGTCTGATCTCGCAGGAAGGATGACTGTAGAGCCCCCGTCCAACCCGCAGGGCTCTCCCACTCACACCCTACCCCCCTCCCCTCAGCCCGAGCTCCTGGTGGGTTTTTTAAAAAAATATTTTTATTAATTATAGAGGGGAAGGGAGAGGGAGAGAGAGATAGAAACATCACTGATGAGAGAGAATCATGGATTGGCTGCCTCCTGCACGCCCCACACCGGGGATCCAGCCTGCAACCCAGGCATGTGCCCTTCACCGGAATCGAACCTGGGACTTTTTAGTCCACAGGCTGGCGATCTATCCACTGAGCCACACCAGCTAGGGCTCCAGGTGGGTTTTAACCCAGGGCCCTAACAAGGACCCCAGGACTCTTTGAGGGAATCCTTCCTGGTGCCCCCAACCCCCATTCTTCTGTTGTAACTGGACAAACAATGGGTCCGCGCTGCCTGTCACTCCGTGAGCCAATTCAGCGGAGACAGGGGTGAATCATTATGAGCGTTTATTCCAATCCTGCCGGCAGCAGGGAGAGCAGCAGGTCAGCCACAGAAATCTGCTCTGCCCCCTCCATAAGGCGGCTGCTTATATTGGGTGGGAGGACGAAGGTTACATGGGGACGTAGCCAAAGGGTGTGCCAAAGGGGCAGTTCACAGGTAAGCAGAGGGCTGGGGGGCTTCAAAGGGCTGGCGATTCTGTTTCTGCAACAAGGTTGTCCATCTTCCATGCTAATAGGCAGCTCCTCCTGATAGGGAGGATGGGCTGCCTCCCCCGGTGAGCTCCCAGGTCCCCTGTGCACCTCCCAGCCAGGTGAGGATGTGCCTTCTTTAACCAGAACAAAGCCATCATAGTGAATAGGGCAGAATCCATATTTCTTACAGTTCTAGCCGGTCCCCCAACATCCTATTCCTGCCCTCTCACTGTCTCCTCTTCCCCTTCTGCCCACCCCAGAAGGTGCAGGTGGAGCTGACCGTGTTGGACTACGACAAGCTGGGCAAGAACGAAGCCATCGGGAGGGTGGCCGTGGGGGCGGCCGTTGGCGGGGCCGGCCTCCGGCACTGGGCAGACATGCTGGCCAACCCTCGGCGGCCCATCGCCCAGTGGCACTCGCTGCGGCCCCCCGACCGAGTGAGGCCACTGCCTGTGCCCTGACCCCACCTTAACAGCCCTGACCCCGGACTCCTGGCCAGAGCCATGCCCAGGCCCACCTTTACGTCTTCTCTGAGCACTACCCCACACCCCACCCCTCCACCCCAACCATCTGGCCCACTCCTGCCGTCTCGCCCCCATTATGCCAATCACGATAACTTGCCAACTTCCCAGCACACACACCCAGGAGCCCCAGGGATCCCTTGGGGAGGGGAGCAGTGTGGCCTCCCCCCAACCCACCCAGGGTCCCCCCGCTCTGCTCTGACAATCAGTGATCCCATCGGACTGTCCCCTTTGCCCTACACAGGATCAGCCATCCTGTCCCAGTCTCATTCCTGCACTGCTCCTCTCGGGCCAAATAAATACTCAGCAACTCGGTGGCCTGGCTGGGTGCTCCTTGTTGGGGGTGCGCAGGGGCCAGGCCGGGGCCCAGGAGGGAACCTTACCTCCAGGGGTGGGATCACACAAGGGCAGGGGCAGGGCAGTCCATCCTCGGAACGTGCTGAGGGAAATGCACCCTCCCGCCCACCCGCTCACCCATCCATCCATCCATCCATCCATCCATCCATCCATCCATTCATCCATCCATCCACCCATCCATCCATCTATCCATCCATTCATCCATCCATCCATCCATCCATCCATCCATCCATCCATCCATCCATATATTCATCCATCCATCCATCCATCCATATATCCATCCATCCATCCATCCATCCATCCATCCATCCATCCATCCATCCATCCATCCACCCACCCACCCACCCATCCATCCATCCATCCATCCATCCACCTATCCATCCATCCATCCATCCATCCATCCATCCATCCATCCATCCATCCATATATCCATCCATCCATCCATCCATCCATCCATCCATCCATCCATCCATATATTCATCCATCCATCCATATATCCATACATCCATACATCCATTTATGCATTCACTCACCCAAGTGCTGTGAGGAGTCCATGAGCATTTACTTCCTTATTTGGGAATTTATCGTGATTTGTCTAAGATCACGCAGCGGGCTGAGGAGAGGAGGCAGAGCGCCCGGGCCCCCTGGTGCGTCACCCTGTGCTGGGTGCTGGGGCTGCCCTGGAGACGTGTCTCCTTCAGTTCTCTGCCCTCGTGCAACTCACAGGCAGGTTCTCACCTGGCCACGGCCTCTCGGCCAGCAGGTAACAGGACAGCATGGAAACCTAGGCATGTCTGACGCCAAAGCCACCTTGTCAAGCGTCCTGCTGTCTGGTCCGTCGAATCTAAAGTAGTGGGAGCCCTGGCCCATGTGACTCGGTTGATTGCCCATCGGCCCATGCACCAGAAGGTCGCCGGTGAGATTCCTGGTCAGGGCACGTGCCAGGGTTGTGGGCTCAGTCCCCAGTGGAGGGTGTGCAGCGGGCAGCCCATCAATGTCTCTCTCTCTCCCTCTCCCTTCCCCTCTCTCTGAAATCAATAAAAAACACAGTTAAAAAAAAATAAAGTCATGTGAGTGCCAGGGGGACTGTTGTGGACATTCTGCTGGGAAGGCAGGAGCAGAAGAACTCGGAGGATGGTCCCCAGCTGGGGCTGAAAGGATGAGCTGGATTTTTCCAGGGGGAGAACGAGGGAGGATGTTGGCAGGAACAACGCAAAGAATACAGCCCTGGAGGCAGAGGACGTGAGTGCTTCCCATGATGTGCTGTTCCCAACTTTCTGAAGCCCTGGCGTGTCGTTTCCCCATTCCCGTGGTGTAAATACTCCCGCTGTGGCTGATTTCACGCCCCCAGTGTGAAGTCATTGACTATGGAGTTGAGATTTCTACTAGCACGCCCGCCAACATGCAGTATTTCCCGCGGTCAGGACAAGGATCCCAAAGTTTAAGGCAAAGCCAACAAACAAAACCCCCAAAACAAAATGCTCTGTAGTCAAAGAGTATTTTAATGCAATATTTAAAAATTTAATGCAAAAAAAGGAATACACAATGGATAGGATATAAAAACTTTAGCCCAGCCGCAGTGGCTCAGTGGTTGAGTGTCAACCTACGAACCAAGAGGTCACAGTTAGATTCCCAATCAGGGCACATGCCCAGCTTGGGTGCTCGATCCCAGTAGGGGGTGTGCAGGAGGCAGCCAATCAATCCACAATTCTTATCATTGATGTTTCTCTCTCTCTCTCTCTCTCTCTCTCTCTCTCTATATATATATATATATATATATATATATATATATTATATATTTATATTTAAAACCTTTAAAGACAGTATCTGACCTTACACTTGGACCACTGTGCCTCATACTAACCCTGGCCCTGATTTTAATAAAACTTTATTTACAAAGACAGCTTATGGTGGCAACTTACCTAGTTGATTTTTTAAATGATTTCATTAAAATAGTGCCCTGACCGGTGTGGCTCAGTTGGTTGGAGCATCATCCTGTGCACCGAAAGGTGGCAGATTTGATTCCTGGTCAGGGCACATAGCCAGGTTTTGGGTTTGGTCCCCATATGGGAGGTAACATATTGATGTTTCTCTCTCTGTCTTCCTCTCTCTGAAATTAAAAAAAAAGGTATTTCCTTCATACAGGTACAATAGATGTAAATAACCTTAAGACCATAATAGTAAACATATAGTAAAACTAGAGGCCCAGTGCACGAAATTCATGCAGTGGTAGGGTTCCTAGCAGCTACCACCTGCTGCCAAGGCCTCCCTCCCTTCCTCCGGTAGGCCCCGCCCCCTGGTCGAACTCCCGGACGACCTCCTGGTGAAGGGGACAATTTGCATACACTTTTATTATATCCCATAAGAAATTATGGGTTTTGAGTGTTACCTTTATTTTAATATAAGGTATTTAATTGAAATTTTAGTAATTCAGTAAAAACGATTTTAGTAATCACGAAGTGTGATGCCCAGGACACAGAATTCCTGAAAATGTGCAACCAGGGCCAGTGCTGGCTGGCCGTGACCCTCAGGTGTGCTTCCTGCCAGGTGAGGAGCCCTGTGCGGTAGTCAGGGTGTGAGGGGGCAAGGGGGGCTGTAGTTTAAGGCCTAGGCCACCTCCGTTTAATTTGAATTAATCAAGATTCCGTTCAGTTCTTTCTAATTTTGAATCGGCTCAAGCTTCATTCAGACCATAAGTTTGGACTTCCCCAGGCTCCGCCCCAGCCTCTTCCCGCACCGTCGTCATGACAACCGCGTCCTCATGCCCTCCTTTCGGGTAGGGCCCGAGAGAGCGGAGCCACGCTCCTATTGGCGCAAAGTTTGAAGTGGGCGGGTTCCACTCGCTCGCATTGGTGGATTGATAGGGGCGCTGCCATCCCGCATATTCCCATTGATCGATTGATCAAAAGGGGCGGGGCTATGGGCCGCAGTTGTGGGACTGGAGCCGGACCGCAGGGCTGCACCTAGGAGGGAAGGAGAAGTCCTGGGATATTTGGAAAGATAAAGGTGAGGGGGGGGGGGGGGTCTCACCTGGCAGAAAGGGCGAGAAATCAGGGGCGGTGAGATGGGGCGGGGGGGGGGGGGGCGACGCAGAGACGATGTTCGGGGGTTCCCTGGATGTCTGTCCCGCAGGGCGATGACCACCCCGGCGGGCTCCGGCACGGGCTTCGGCTCCGTGTCCTGGTGGGGCCTGTCCCCGGCGCTGGACCTGCAGGCTGAGAGTGAGTTCTCCCCCCCGCCCCCCCCCCAGGACCACACCTGCCACCGCGGCCGCCTCCCCAGATGGTGCAGTAACGTTCTCCGAGGTTCCAACGGCGGGGGGGCGCCCCCGAGTGGGCAGCCACACAGGTGGCCTCTCTGAGGACTACGACTCCCAGAATGCTTAGAGGCACAGCTCCTTTTAGAACCTAAGGGGAAGTTGTGCACGTTCTGCTGGGAGTTGTAGTCATCGCGCTAAGGGAGGCTGCCGAGGGCGCTCTTCAGGCCACCAGCCCTAGCCCGTTGTCGCCTCTCTAGGTCCTCCTGTGGACCCGGACTCGCCGGCCAATGCGGAGCACGGGACCCCCGAGCTAGATGTGCTGCTACTGGGCTCCGTGGACGGGCGCCACCTGCTGCAAACCCTGGCCAGGGCGGCGCGCTGGCCACGCAGGAGGTTTCAGGTGAGTTGGGAATCTGGGGTATGAGAGGAGGAGGATGAAGATAAGAGTCCCGCCGGGTCGGTGTGGTTGGATCCAGCCCAGTAGTTGAGCATCGATCTAGGGAGGTCACGGTTCGATTCCTGGTCAGGGCACCTGCCTGGGTTGTGGGCTCCATCCTCAGTGTGGGGCGTGCAGGTGGCAGCCGATCCATGATTCTCTCTCATCATATTGATGTTTCTCTCTCTCTCTCTCTCCCTCTCCCTGCCTCTCTGAAATTAATTAAATAAAAATTTTAAAATAAGAGTTCAGATTCCCAAGTCCCTGGGGGAGAGGGAAGTTGAGGGCCTGGACCCCTAGGTCTGAGGGAGGTGGAAGCTGGGGCCCCAACGCATGCGTCCTGAGGAAGGAAGTGTCTGGGGCTGGGGATCCTGGGTTCAAGTGGGAGAAAGGGGCCTAAGGACGGGGTCTCCTGAGTCGTGCAGGGGAGGAGGGTCCCGAGAGCCCAGACCCTTGTGTTTGAAGTGGGGGCGGGGGGGTGGGGGTGTGTGTACAGGACTCCTGGGTCCTGTAGAAGGAGGGGCCGGGGCTCCCACTCCCAGTCTCCTAGGAGTCAGGGACACGGATCTCAGAGCCGCTCTGCCCGCCCATCCTCCTAGTTCTACGTGCTGGAGAACAATCTGGAAGCGGTGGCCCGGCATATGCTGTTCTTCAGCCTGGCCCTGGAGGATCCTGAGAAGATGGGACTGCAAGGTAAGTTGCAAGGACCAGGGTGGAAGGGCGTTCTGCGCTCCCCCTTCCCCCTCCCTTCCTCATCCCTGCAGGGAGTCTGGCTTCCCAATGGTGCAATGTAAAACTTTGGCCATTGTTCCCCATTTCATCGTTTGCTCACTTATTGGAAACAATTCCAAGAGAGAAACCCATGCAAAACACTCCGGAACAGTGCATGGCAGGGTCTACCCGTTCAAAACCTCCTCCAGCGGGAGGAGCCCAAGAGAGGTCAGGGGGCTTCCAGAGCGAGAGCTAGTGAGTCTGCAGATGCGGGGAGGGTTTGGCTGAGCTGAGAGTCCTGCCCCAAGCCTCCCCCAGTGAGAGGTGTGCACCCCAGGGAGCCAGCCTGGAGGAGGCAGCCTTCCACTTGAGACTAAAAGGAGAAGGGGACACAGGAGGATGGGGAGGGGGGCAGAAAGTGATTGTTTCTCAGTAATAGTTTCAGGTTAGCACCTAGAGTGAACTCTGGATTCAGACAAGCTGTGCTCACATTCTGGCTCTGCTCCACAGAGCACTTAAAAAACAACAACCCAAAAACTTATTCTAAATACTTTTTAAAAATATGGTTTTATTGATTTTTAGAGAGAAAGATAGAAACATCAATGATGAGAGAGAATCATTGATCGGCTGCCTCCTGCACGCACCCCCACTGGGGATCGAGCCTGCAACCCGGGCATGTGTCCTGACCGGGAATCGAACCGGTGACCCTTTGGTTCCTGGGTTGACACTCTACCACTGAGCCGCACCAGCCGGGCTATTCTAAATAATATTTATTATCTACTTCCACAGAGCACTTTTGAGGATTCAGATTCAAACACACACACACACACACACACACACACACACACACACCCCCAAGCTCCTGGCTTCTGATATAGACTGAGTACATCTTAGCGATTATTGTTATAATTAATATGGATGGTAGCTGTCAATCAGAGCCCAGGGCTTTCATCATACATTGCACACAACTTACAGTGCACTCTGCATAAAGCTCTTGACCAACAAGAACTAATCTAACTTTTATCCATCTAACTAATGGTATAGAGTTCTCTTTTTAAGGTTGTTAAACAACTAAGATGAACCCATTTAGATAGGTATTTATAATAATAAAAGCGTAATATGCTAATTAGACCGGATGTCCTTCCAGACAACCTTCCGATTGAAGCCAGGGCTGTGAGGGATGCCTGGGTCCCGGGTGCCAGAGGGAAGCCGGTGCCAGCAGCTGGGGAAAGGAAGGCCTACTCTTGCACGAATTTCGTGCATTGGGCCTCTAGTATTGATATAGATATATGCAGTGATGGTGAACCTATGACACGCGTGTCAGAGGTGACATGCCAACTCATTTTTTTGGTTGATTTTTCTTTGTTAAATGGCATTTAAATATATAAAATAAATATCAAACATATAAATCTTTGTTTTACTATGGTTGCAAATATCAAAAAGTTTCTATATGTGACACGGCACCAGAGTTAAGTTAGGGTTTTTCAAAATGCTGACACGCCGAGTTTAAAAGGTTCGCCATCACTGGATATATATGTATACAACTAAAGGTATATAGTTTTCTCTTGTAAGATCCTTATCGAAGCTGAAACAATTTATATATAACAATTTTAACACACTTATCTCCGTCTCTATCTATAACCGTTACCCTTTAAAAACTATATTTTTATTGATTTCAGTGAGGAAGGGAGAGAGAGAGAAACATCAATGAAGAGAATCATTGATGGGCTGCCTCCTGCTCGCCCCGCCCCGGGGATGGAGCCCTGATGGAAAATGAACCATGACCTCCTGGTATAACCTTTACCTGTTTAAGGCAAAGGGAATGTAAACAGGGCATTCAGGGTTGGCGTTACCGGGAGGGGCGGGGGGCTAGGCGAGGGTACCTGGGGGAGTGTAAGTTCTTCGCCTTCTAGCTGTTGGGGCGGGTGGGGAGTTTGCCGGTTCTGTGGTGCATGTCCTATGACTCCTGATAAGATTCTGTACAGAACGCTCATCCTATAGACAGGTTATGAGACGCTGCTGTCATTTCCGGGCCCACTCCTCCGCTCCCCCCATTGCTTCTCTCCTGCTCCCCGCCCACAGAGAGGAGCGAGGCCTTCCTGGAGGTGTGGGGGAACGCGCTGCTGCGCCCCCCGGTGGCCGCCTTCGTGCGCGCCCAGGCCGACCGCCTGGCGCACCTGGTCCCGGAGCCCGACCGCCTGGCCGAGCAGCTGCCCTGGCTGAGCCTGCGCGCCCTGAAGGTGCCTCCGCCCGCGCCCACCCCTCTCCCCCGGGGGCTGGGCGGCCGCGGGAGAACGGGGCTGGGACGTCCGTCCAGAGCGCTGGGCGTGGATGGCGTGAGCTGGGTCCCGGGAGTCTGCACCCCAGCTCCCAGCTCCCACTGTGGGGTTTGACCTAGGGGCCCTGGGGGGGGTGGCTTCTACTTTCTGAGTCTCCGCTTCTTTTTCTTTTTTTCCCCTTTTTGTTAACCCTCACCTGCGGATATTTATTCCCATTAATTGTTATTTTTTATTATCTTTTTTAAAAATATAATTTAATTGATTTCAGAGAGGAAGGTAGAGGGAGAGAGAGCTAAAATATCAATAATGAGAGAGAATCATGGATGGGCTGCCCCCTGCACCCCCACTCCTCCCCACTGGGGGTCGAAGGCACAACCCTAGCAGGTGCCCTTGCCCCGGAATCAAACCGTGACCTCCTGGCTCATAGTTCCACGCTCAACCACGGAGCCACGCGGCCGGGTTCCATTGATTTTTAGAGAGAGTGGGAGGGCGGGAAGGAGGGAGGGGGCAGAGAGAGAAACGTGGATGGGAGGGATCGAACCTGCAACGCTTCCATGTGCGGGCCGGCGCTCTAGCCACCGCTTCAACCCGCCGGGGCAGAGCCCCAGTTTCTTCATCCGAGAAAGGGGAGAATCGTGCCCACACCCTGCGGGGGCAGAAGGGAGGGTCAGCCCGGGAAGGCGGCTCTCCCTGCAGCCCCCCATCGCTCCCCGCCGCCCCCCCACCCCCATGAGCAGTTCCGCGAGCGCGACGCCCTGGAGGCCGTGTTCCGCTTCTGGGCCGGCGGGGAGAAGGGGCCCGAGGCCTTCCCCATGGGCCGCCTCTGGGACCTGCGGCTGCGCCACTACCTGGGCTCCCGCTACGACGCCCGGCGCGGAGTCAGCGACTGGGACCTGCACATGAAGCTGCACGACCGCGGGGTGAGGGCCCGGGGCCCGGGGCTGCGGGCGGAGGAGGCCGGGCTGGGGCCCCGCGTGCAGGGTTCACCGAGTCCCCTCTCCGCCCCCCGCCCCCCGCAGGCCCGCGTCATCCACACCAGCGAGTTCCGGCGCTGGAGGGACACGGGCGTCGCCTTTGAGCTCAGAGACCCCAGCGCCTACCAGGTGCCCAACCGGACTCTGGCGTCCGGTCGCCTCCTGAGCCACGTGCGTGTCCACGCCCCGCCCGGGCCCGCTCCATCTTTGGGGGGCGGGAGGGGGGAACCAAGGAGGCCAGGTCCCCAACATCGACCCCGCCCGCCTCCTCTGGCCTTGCTTTCCCAGCGCGGGGAGCGCGTGGCAGCGCGAGGGTACTGGGGGGACATCGCCACGGGGCCCTTCGTAGCCTTCGGCATCGAAACGGACGACCAGAGCCTCCTGCGGACCAGCAACGGGCAGCCGGTCAAGGTGTGCGCCCCGGGATGGGCTGCCAGGCCCCGCCCCCTGCCGTCAAGGCCCCGCCCCCTGCGATCCAGGCCCCGCCCACCGGGCCTGGGGCCCGCCTCCACGGCCTAGGCTCCACCCTCTCCATTTCCTAAACCCGGTCCCGGGAATCCGAGCTCTCTGCTCAGATGCTAGCTCTGGGGATTGGGGGGGCACTCAGGGGTGGGAGGGGTGGGAGGAGTGACGTACCCCAAACCCCTGCCTGCCCCCGAGGTCCTAACCCAGCGTCTGGCCACGCCCCTTCCCCCTCCCACAGACGGCGGGCGACATCACGCAGCACAATGTGACAGAGCTGTTCCGCACCCTGGCCGCCTGGGGGCGCCCGAGCGCCGCCCAGGGAGACCCCCAGGAGGTGCCAGACGAGGCGAATGGAACCGGGGAGCCCGGTAGGCGAGGGACTCGGCTCTCCCCCTGAAATTGGGCGGCGGTCTCGGGGCGGGGGGCAAAGTGGACACGTCATCTTCTGGGCGAGTGGGACCCAGACCCCGCCCCGGGCTTCGGGCCCCAGGGATTTCAAGCACCAGCGCATCGACCTGGTTCCCGGGGCCTGGCCCAGTGGGCGGCCTTCCTCCTCTCTCTCCTCTTTGTAGGTCTCCCCTGGTCTTAGCACTCCCAGTCCCCATGCTAGAATCCTGACCCTGCCTGCAGAGGCTAAGGCTCGGAGGCTAAGAACATTCTGACTCGGTGCTGCGTCCCGGGTCACTTTTGGAGAGACAGCCCTCTCCCCACATCTGACCACGCCTCCTTCTCACCATCCCCACCCAACCCAGCCCTCCCCCGCGTCTGGGTGCGCTGTCCGGCCACGGGCCACTCTCTTTCCCTCTCTCAAGTCTCAGTTGCCTGGTCTGTAAAATGGGTTTCTCCAGAGAGCCGAGCCGTGTCATCTACCAGCTCTGTGTGTCCCCTCACTCACTGTGCCGTTCTCCCCCGCAGCCCCTGGCCCGGCACCCTTCACCGTCCACTTCCTGCCCCTCGGCTGTGCCCAGACCCTCCACCACAAGAGCTGCTACAAGGGTCGGTTCCAGCTCCTCTATGTGGCCTGTGGGTAAGAGGGCCTGGGGGTCCGGGGCCTCCCTCTGCAGCCCCTCCACCCTTCGACCCAGAGCCCAGGCCCCAGCCCTCCTCCCTCAGACCCAGGAGCCCAGGCCCCCACTCTCCTCCCTCAGACCCAGGAGTCCAGGCCCCCACTCTCCTCCCTCAGATCCAGGAGTCCAGGCCCCCACTCTCCTCCCTCAGACCCAGGAGTCCAGGCCCCCAGCCCCTCCTCCCTCAGATCCAGGAGTCCAGGCCCCCAGCCCCTCCTCCCTCAGACCCAAGAGCCCAGGCCCCCAGCCCCTCCTCCCTCAGACCCAGGAGTCCAGGCCCCCACTCTCCTCCCTCAGATCCAGGAGTCCAGGCCCCCACTCTCCTCCCTCAGACCCAGGAGTCCAGGCCCCCAGCCCCTCCTCCCTCAGATCCAGGAGTCCAGGCCCCCAGCCCCTCCTCCCTCAGACCCAAGAGCCCAGGCCCCCAGCCCCTCCTCCCTCAGACCCAGGAGCCCAGGCCCCCAGCCCCTCCTCCCTCAGACCCAGGAGCCCAGGCCCCCAGCCCCTCCTCCCTCAGACCCAGGAGCCCAGGCCCCCAGCCCAGCCTCAATCAGTGTCCCAGCCCCCAGCCCCTCTTCCCTCAGGACCTCAGCCCTCCCGTGCTCTCTGCTCCAGGATGGTCCATCTTCTCAGCCCTGAGCTCGGGGCCTGCGTGGGCCCTGGGGGACGCCTGGTTGTGGAATTAGCCCGGTGAGTCCGTGGAGCGCAGGGCAGGGCACCAGGCTGGGGACCGAGAGCCGCCGGGTCCCCTACCACGCGGCATCTCCATCTCAGGTACCTGGTGGACGTGCGGCCGGAGCAGCTGCAGGGATTCTCCGACCGGGTTGGGGAACTGGCTCAGGCAGCGGGGTTCGCCTCGCAGCCCGGGGCCGGGCCCTCCGAGACCTTCGCGCGCTTCTGCAAGTCCGGGGACTCAGCTCCCGGAGGCCTGGCGTTGGAACCCGGGACTCCGCCCCCTGCAGCCCTGGCCCCGCCTCCTGATGTCCTGGCTCCGCCCCCTGAGGCAACAAACCCGCCCTCCGAAGGCCTGACCCAGCCCCTCCAAGGTCAAAGCCCCCCTGAACCCCTCAAGCTGCCCTCAGAGTCTCAGGCTTCTCCACTCGAGGCTTTGGCTCCGCCCACAGGGAGTCAGAACCCCCAAACCAGAGAGTCTGAGGGGACCCTCAGAGACCACCCCCCCACCTAACTTCTCAAGCCGGGTCCTGGGGTTGGACCGGCCTCTGGGACACTCAGCTACACCCTCCACAACATTCTCGCTCAGCCCCCAGGTGTTGCTCGAATTTCAGACTCCATTTCTGAGCTTCTATACAGTGGGGCCTTGACTTAGGAGCGTCCCGACTAACGAGTGTTTTGAGATACCAGCTGTCTCTTGGCCGATTTTTTGCATTGAGTTGATAGAGTAATTTGAGTTAACAAGCTCCCTAACGAGCTCGGTCTTGGAATGAATGAAACTCGTAAGTCAAGGCCCCACTGTATTCTGTCCCTAGGATTCTAGATGGTTCTCTCAGAGGTCCACACTCCACTCCCCAACACTCGAATCGCAGCCAGGAGACCGGGCCCTGGGTCTCAGGTGCTCTGCGGGGTCCCCAGGTGTCCCCTGCCCAAGCGGGGGTTGGGGATGTCTCCTCTCCCGCGGCTGCTCAGCACCCACGTTCCAAATAAAGTCAGCAGAGACTTCTCTGTGTCCCTGTGTCCTGTCCTTAGTCCGGCTCCAGGGCTGGGGGAGGGGAGGGGCCAGGAGAGGTCAGGAGAGGACAGACAGCGGAGACCAGATTCCTGGTTTTCCAAGTGGAGGGGAAGTGGCTTTCCCAGTGCTGGGCCTGAGTGCCCCGCACCACGCACGCACGTGGATCCTCAAATAAGTCAACAAAATGTATCACGTGGCAATGGCTTCCGGCACTGACACCCACCATCAGGTGATGGAAAAGACAGACAGGCTCCGCCCTCATGGAGGTGGCAGTTTAGTCTGAGGGAGGAGGGGCTCGGGGCCTGGACTCCTGGATCTGATGGAGGAGGGGGTGGGGCCTGGACCCCTGGGTCTGAGGGAGGAGGACTGGGGGCCTGGACTCCTGGGTCTGAGGGAGGAGGGGGTGGGGCCTGGACTCCTGGGTCTGAGGGAGGAGGGGCTGGGGGCCTGGACTCCTGGGTCTGAGAGAGGAGGGGGTGGGGCCTGGACTCCTGGGTCTGAGGGAGGAGGGGCTGGGGGCCTGGACTCCTGGTTCTGAGGGAGGAGGGGCTGGGGGCCTGGACTCCTGGGTCTGAGGGAGGAGGTGTTAGAGGCCTGGACTCCTATCAAAGTGAAGGGGCCAGATTCCCAGGCGACTCTGTTTTTGGATAATCTAGCTGGAGTACTGCCCGCCCCACCCCTCACGCGCCCCGTTATCTCGCATCCTGGGCAGGGGGAGGGGGAGCAGTATATTTAGTCGCTGTCCTCGCCCTTTATCAGTGTCCTCAGTGAGGCTTGAGCGGCCCGGACGAGACTGAAGTCCCTGGGGCCTTCAAGGTCACCCCGGACGCCCCCTCGCTGACTCTCCAAGAGCCTCTCGTCCCTTCTCTGCCCCCTCCAGCTCCCGGCCGGAGTCTCAGCATGGCGGACGAGTGAGTGCAGCCTGTCCCCTGAGCCCCAGGCACGGGGAGGTGGGCGATCTCCTGCAGGGGTGAGGGCTGCGGTCTGGACCCCTGGCCTGAGAAGGGGGGTGGGGGGTCAGGAATCCTGGAGGTCGGGATGCGGTAAGAGTTTGGGAATCAGACTCCTTGGACCCGAGACTGGGAAGCTGGTGGCAGGACCTGTTGGTCAGAGGGGCTTCCTGGGATCCCTTTGGAGACGGACTGGACAGACCACAGGCCCAACATGAACCCCCTTTCCTGCTTTCTCTCCCCCCAGGAGCGGCGATGCTGTGAGAGCGGGATGGGCTGGCCCCCCGGGCGGGGCGGGAGGCAGGGAGAGGGGCTGAGGGTCCGGGTGGTGACGCGGCTCGGTCCCCTGATCCCAGGCTGGGGCACCCCAACCCGCTCCCATGCGACGGCGCTCTTCCGCCAACTACCGCGCCTACGCCACGGAGCCGCACGCCAAGGTGAGCCGGGCCCGCGTGGTGGGCGGGGCCGGGGCGGGGCCTGGATTCAGAGTCTTAGGAGGCTACCCCGCGCCGTGGGAAAAAGGGGCGGGGCCGTGGCCTTCAGGGAGGCGGGGTTTGGGCCTTGGGCGGAGCCCCTGTGGATGACGGAAGTTTGAGGGGTGGAGTTTCGCACCGGGCCGGGCTCGGATTGGTGAGCGCTGCCTATGGGCGGAGTTCCGTTGCTTGTGGGAACCTTGGTTGCCTACGAGGTGGTGGGCGGGGCCGACCCAGAGTCAGAGGCCCTGATTGGTGGTTGGGACCGAGAGGCGTGGCCTCTCGTAAGCCGAGTGCTAGAATTGGAGGCGGGATCAAATCTGGACTTGGCTTGAGGGGCGGGTTCTTAAGCCCCTCCCACTGCCTACCTGCGCGCCCCCCTTCCTGCTCCTTCCTCTCTCCATCTCATCCCCGCAGAAAAAGTCGAAGATCTCCGCCTCGAGAAAACTGCAGCTGAAGGTGCGACCCGGCCTGGAGAGGCAGCCTAGGCGTTCCCTGGGGGGCGGAGCTTGAGGCTTCGAATGTGGGAGTGGGTGGGGCTTGGAGTGTTGGGGGCGTGGTTTTGCGGCGGGCCTTGGAATGCTGGACCTTGAGGGGGCGGGACCCGGAAAGACCGAAGGCCAGAGCTGGCATTAGAGGACTGGCAGCCTCCAGCGGGTCTTCTTCCCGCTCCCCACCGCGGGTTGAGGTCCAGCCTCCTCTCGCAGACCCTGATGCTGCAGATAGGGAAGCAGGAGCTGGAGCGCGAGGCAGAGGAGCGGCGCGGGGAGAAGGGCCGCGCTCTGAGCACGCGGTGCCAGCCCCTGGAAGTGGCCGGGCTGAGCTTCGAGGAGCTGCAGGTACAGGCTCGAAGCAGGGTCCCCTGCTCAGCCCGAGGCCCTGGGCTCCTCTGTCCAGCCTTGCATCTTGGGGCTCGGGTACAGTCACTCTCCTCCCCCTTCCGCTCAGGACCTTGGGGCCGGATCTCCCAATATTTAGCCTCAGGAGTTCAGACATGTGAGTGGCCTGCAAGCTGCCTACAGTCTCAAAACCCAGAGGGCGGTTCCTCTGTCCCTAATTCTGTAGATTCGCAGGTTTAGTGGCTCTGGAGTTCGGCTTTGTTCTCAGCTTCCCAGAGACCAGCTTCAGTCTACTTCACAACCAGATATCCACCCCCAGCCCCTCAGACCCAGGAGTCCAGGCCCCAGCCCCTCCTCTCTCAGACCCAGGAGTCCAGGCCCCTAGTTCCTCCTCCCTCACACCCAGGAATCCAGATCCCCAGCCCCTACTCCCTCAGACCCAGGAGTCCAGGCCCCCAGCCCCTCCTCCCTCAGACCTAGGAGTCCAGGCCCCCAGTCCCTCCTCTCTCAGACCCAGGAGCCCAGGCCCCCAGTTCCTCCTCCCTCACACCCGGGAGTCCAGGCCCCCAGCCCCTCCTCCCTCACACCCAGGAGTCCAGGCCCCCAGCCCCTCCTCCCTCAGACCCAGGAGTCCAGGCCCCAGCCCCTCCTCCCTCACACCCAGGGGTCCAGGTTCCCAGCCTTCCCCTACCACATAAGCCACATTTCTTTACCAGGACTTGTGCCGGCAGCTCCATGCCCGGATAGACAAAGTGGACGAGGAGAGATACGATGTGGAGGCAAAAGTCACCAAGAACATCACGGAGGTGGGAGGCATGGGCATTGCGGGTCCCGTCAGGGTGTGAGGCAGTGCCTGGGGCGGTGGCCTCAGCCCCGGCCCCTTGTGGTGGAGGATCCCAGGGCACCCAGGTCAGCTCCATGAGTCTGGCAGGGAGCGAGCAGAAGGTTGGCTACCATATGGCCAGGCCCGGCTGTTCCAGGCAGGGGAGGTGGGACAGCAGAAAACATGTGAAATGTGTGCCTGGAGCGCCAGGTGTTGGTAAAGGAGCTGAGGTGTGGACTGCAAAGAACCGTGAGATGCCGGTTGCTGGGCGGGGATGTGTCACTGGTTCCCAGAGAGACGTGGCTGGGCCGATCCGGGAGGGTTTCCAGATGGAGATGGGGAGCTGGGATTTTACCCCAGAGGTAGTGGGAGCCTGAGCTAGGAAAAGCCTTAGTGGGGCCTGGGTAGGGATAGGAGGCCAGGGGAGGGTGGAGGAGTGGGGGGAGGGGGAAGTGGAGGGAGAGGTCTCCACCTCCCCTTGCCCCCTCCCCCCCCCCAGATCGCAGATCTGACCCAGAAGATCCTTGACCTCCGGGGCAAGTTCAAGCGGCCCACGCTGCGGCGGGTGCGGATCTCGGCGGATGCCATGATGCAGGCGCTGCTGGGGACCAAGGCTAAGGAGTCCTTGGACCTGCGGGCCCACCTGAAGCAGGTGAAGAAGGAGGACACGGAGAAGGTGAGTGTGGCTGGGCCCGGAAAGGGGACCCAGCGGAGAGGGTGTGGGGGCAACCGTCCCAGGGCCTGGCCTGAGGGGAGGACTTTTGGAATTTTGGGGAGAAGACTCTGGTGAGGATTCTTCAACAGGAAGTAGAAGGGGGAGACTAGAAGTGCATTAGGAGAAGGGAAGTAGCATGGAGTCAGAATGGGGTTACAGGAAGTGCATGAGAGAAAAGAGACAGGAAGTGCAGAAGGGAGATAGGAAGTGTAGGGGGGAGACAGGAAGTACAGAAGAGAGACAGGAAGTGCAGGAGGGAGACAGGAAGTGCAGGAGGGAGACAGGAAGTACAGGAGGGAGATAGGCAGAGCAGGAGGGAGACAGGAAGTACAGAAGAGAGATGGGAAGTACAGAAGAGAGATGGGAAGTGCAGGAGGGAGACAGGAAGTGCAGGAGGGAGATGAGAAGTGCAGGAGGGAGACAGGAAGTGCAGAAGGGAGACAGGCAGTGCAGGAGAGAAATAGGCAATGCAGGAGGGAGACAGGAAGTGCAGGAGGGAGACAGGAAGTGCAGGAGGGAGACAGGAAGTACAGGAGGGAGACAGGCAGTGCAGGAGGGAGACAGGAAGTGCAGGAGGGAGACAGGCAGTGCAGGAGGGAGACAGGCAGTGCAGGAGGGAGACAGGAAGTGCAGGAGGGAGACAGGAAGTGCAGGAGGGAGACAGGAATTGCATGGATCAATGTGGATGGGATGTTGAGGGGCAGGGAGCGCTCCAGACCCAGACCTTTGGTCAGACGTCCAGAGTGGCCCCGCGGGCTGGAGGGCAGTCGGGGGATATTTGAGGGAAGGCATTCTAACCTCTGACCCCGTTTCCCAGGAAAACCGGGAGGTGGGAGACTGGCGCAAGAACATCGATCTGCTGAGCGGCATGGAGGGCCGCAAGAAGAAGTTTGAGGGCTGAGCCTCCCGCGCACCCTGAGGAATAAAGCTGTGTCTGAGCTGGGAGAGGCTGTGTGTGTGTGTCTGTCACGCGGGGGCCTGGGTGTGGGAGTCTGGAGAACGAGGGCCAGGCTCTGGGAAGCCACAGGCACATCAGGGCAGAGCTGGGTCTCCAGCAGGGGGCGTTCTGCGCTCCTCTGCCCTGGGTGGAGGGCACAGGGATGCTGAGACCCCGGCCCACAGAGAGACACAGAGAATGAAAGCGAGAGGGGGAAGCTGGATTCATGGGAAGAAGTGCAAAGGACTGGAAACTGGAGAGAGAGACACAAGGGCAGGGAGATGGAGCTGAGACAGAAATGAGGGCCCCTGGAGGGGTGACTGCAGGGACACAGACCCAGAGGAGCTCAAAAGGGGGGGACAGGGACACAGAGCCAGAGAGAGACAGACACGGGGTCACAGACAGACACCCGGGAGACCGGGAGACAGGCACCAAGAGAGGCAGACACACAGGCTCCCACGGATGCAGCGACAGGGACACACAGAGAACTTCAGCTGGTTGCTCAGTGGTTAGAGCTCTGGCCCCAGCACTGCCAGATCTTGGGTTTGATTCCTGGCCAAGGGCACCGACCTGGCTGCAGCTTCCATCCCCAGCCCCAGCTGGGGTGCGTGTGGAAGGCAAGCAATCCATGTGTCTCTCTCACATCGATGTTTCTCTCTCTCTATTCCTCCTCCTCTCTCCCACTCTCTGAAACATCTTTGGCAAAATATCTTCAAATGAGGATGAACAAACAAACAAACAAAAGAACTCTCAGAGGGACACACGGAGTGAAGAACAGAGACGCAGAGAGCCCAAAGCAGAGGCCCAAAGGGACAGGCGGAGACATGTATAGAAAGGGAGACGGCATTGCAGACAGTGGCCGGGAAGCGGGGGCTCGAGGAGAGACACCCACAGGCGGTGTGGGGGGTGAGGAATGAGGCACTGGGGCGGGGGGGCGGGGGGGGGGGCGGGTGAGGGGTGAGGCGCTCCCTCCCCAGGGCTGGCTCCCCTGGAGGTCAAGGTCGTGGTTTGGCAGGGGAGGAGGGAGGGAGATACCAAAAAAGGTCCCTGTCAGATGGAGGTGGGGGGGGGGGATAAGGTCGTGCGGGCCTGACACCCCTCCCTCGCCCCTCCCCCCACGCACACCTGCTTCCCCGCTTTAGCGCCTGTTGTCACCAGGGTGGAATCCCGGTGGCAGACAAAGGGTGGGGGCGGGGAGGGAGGGGGAGCCAGAGAGATGGATGGAGACACACACAGTGGAGAGTCACAGAGACAAAGGAGAGACGACAGAGAGACAGAAAGGGGGACAGGAGCCGTAGAAAGGGAAACCGTCCGCGCACCCCTCATCCACATGCATTCTCGCCCTGGCCGGTGTGGCTCAGTGGATAGAACCTCGGCCTGCGGACCACGGGGTCCCGGGTTCGATTCCGGTCAAGGGCACAGGCCCGGGTTGCGGGGGCTCGATCCCCAGTGTGGGCCGTGCAGGAGGCAGCCGATCCATGATTCTCTCATCGTTGATGTTTCTGTCTCTCTCTTCCTCTCTGAGATCAATAAAAATATTATTTCTTAAAATAATGCATTCTCCAAGGGCCTCTGTGTGCTAAGCCCAGGGACTGCAAAGCAGAGAGGGCCACCACGGGTAGTGCCACAGGGTGGTGGGGAGCACGGGGTCCCTGGCCCAGCCCTGAGCTCCCAGGAGGCGCTGATGGGGTGCAGAAGGGTCTCAGCAGCCAGCAGGGCCTGGATCACTGACGTGGAGCCTGAGTGGGGGCAGGGCAGCCTGGGGGGGGGGGCTTGGGGGGGGACTAGTGTTTGGGGAAAGGAATTCTCCCTCCCCCTGGGGGCGGGGCTGAGCTCACTATAAAAGGGGTGCTGCAGCTGCCCCTCACGTTCATGCCTCTGCAGACCCAGCCCTAGGTAAGGCTTCCTGCGATGAGGGCGGGATGAGGGCGGGAGGCGGCAGGGTGTGGAGAAGAGGCATGAGGCAGAGGGGCCTGGAGATGAGCTTTGGGGGACACAGAATCTGGGGCGCCTGGATTGGGGGGTCCAGAAAATAACCTTAGGCCCTCGGAAGCCGGAGTCAGGGAATCTCAGAGCTTGGGCGTGTCTGGGCTTGGATGTCAGTCCAGTAGCCTGGAGGTCCGGGACAGGGGGTCCGAACTGCGTTCTAGGAGCTGAGGGGTCAAGGTCTGTGCTCTTGTGACTGGAGGGGGTGGAACCTCTCGTCATCATCAGGGGCGTCGGGAATTGGGGCTCTGAGGTTGGGCACGGGTGTTGGGGTCTCACGATCGCGAGGTTTCAGAGCTCAGGAGGTGTCAAACCGGGGTCTCCGAGTCCAGGTCGGGCCTGGTGAGCCATACACTGGGTGAGTCAGGATCTGTGGGCACTGGGGCTTAGGCACCTCGGGGCTGGGGGGATGCCAGGGATTGGGGGGGTCTATTTAGGGGTGAGGGTGAGGCCTGCGGAGAGACGCTGCTCTTGGGGCACCCTGCCTCCCCCCAGGCTGGGGGTGAAGGTGAAGGAGACGGGTGGGAAGAGCCCAGCCAGACTGGAGGGGTGGGGTCAGGGGTGGGAGAGGACCTCGGCCTCCTGGCCTTTGGGTGTCTTCTCGCAGGAGCCCCCCCCCCCCCCCACACACACACAGGCCAGACCCTTTTTAGGAGATGTCCACTGTCTTCCTGTCATGACATTCCCCCGAAATAGCCCCTGGGGGTGGGGCAGCTATTGTCTTCAGGCGCCCTCTGTCCCCAATGCCTTCTCCTAATCCCGCTCAGATCGGGTTCCCAGGGACGTGTCATAAGACAAAAGAGGACAGCTGGGGGGGGGGGGCGAGTTATGGGGGGGGTGCCTGGCCCGCACCTCCCCAAGCCCTGTGTTCTCACTCGGTTTAGGAGGCAAACCCCAGGCCCCCAGCCCCTCCTCCCTCAGACCCAGGAGTCCAGGCCCCCAGCCCCTCCTCCCTCAGACCCAGGAGCCCAGGCCCCCAGCCCCTCCTCCCTCAGACCCAGGAGCCCAGGCCCCCAGCCCCTCCTCCCTCAGGCCCTGGAGCCCAGGCCCCCAGCCCTCCTCCCTCAGACCCAGGAGCCCAGGCCCCCAGCCTCCTCCCTCAGACCCAGGAGTCCAGGCCCCCAGCCTCCTCCCTCAGACCCAGGAGTCCAGCCTCCAGCCCCTCCTCCCTCAGACCCAGGAGTCCAGGCCCCAGCCCCTCCTTGGGGACCCCCCCCCAACTCCCCCTGTTCTCTGTGGTCCTCAGGTCGCACCAGGATGTCGGACACGGAGGAGCAGGAATATGAGGAGTGAGTGATGCTGGCGGGAGGGCGGGGGGCTGGAGAAGGGGGGCCCTCTCCCTCCTCCCAGGCTTCTAACTCTCCCCCTCCCTCTTTCTCTCCCTCCGCCCCTTCCCCGTCTGCAGGGAGCAGCCCGAAGGTGAGTGGGGAGGCCCCGGCCTTGGGGGCGCAGACCAGGCAGGTCTCCGGGGAGGGGCGGAGCAGAGGGGCCGGCAAGCCCACCCTCCTGGTTTCCCGAACTTTTTCTTGTTTCTTTTCTTTTTCTTTTTTAAAAATATATTTTATTGATTTTTTACAGAGAGGAAGAGAGAGGGATAGAGAGTTAGAAACATCGATCAGCTGCCTCCTGCAGACTCCCCACTGGGGATGTGCCCGCAACCAAGGTACATGCCCTTGACCGGAATCGAACCTGGGACCCTTCAGTCCGCAGGCCGACGCTCTATCCACTGAGCCACACCGGCTAGGGCTCTTTTTTCTTTTTAATGTATCTTTATTGATTTCAGAGAGGAAGGGAGAGGGAGAGAGAGAGAGAGAGAGGGAAACATCCTTGATGAGAGAGAATCATGGACCGGCTGCCTCCCGCACGCCCCCTAGCGGGGATGGAGCCACACCCCGGGCCTGTGTTCCGACCGGGAATCGAACCCGGGTCCTCCTGGTCCGTAGGTCGCGGCTCACCCACTGAGCCATCAGGTGAGGCTGGGCGTTCCCAGCGCGACCTCCGCGTGGCCAGTGGGAAAGCTCAGTGCCCCCCGACCCCGGCCCCCCGCACCCCCAGTCTCTGCCGCCCCCCGCCCCCGACTCCCGGGGCTCCTAACGGCCTCTCCCCTTTGCCCCCCGCCCCTTCCAGAGGAGGAGGCTGCCGAGGAGGAGGAGGAGGAGGAAGGTGAGGCCCCGGACCCCGCAGGCTGGAGCTGGACGCGGGGCCGGGGTGGGGGAGGGGTGTCTGGGGGGGGCGGGGACGGACCTCTGTCCCCCGGTGGCAGCCGGGGTGGGGGCCCCCGATGGCCTGGGTTTCAGTTCCTCTAACAGCCTCTCCCCTCTCTCCCCCCGCACCTCGCACCCTGCACCCCGCACCCCGCACCCCGGCGTGGCCGCTCCCCCTCCCCGCACCTCCCTCCCCCCACCCTCGCTTCTCCCCTGCGCCTCCCCAGCCCCCGAGGAGCCGGAGCCGGTGGTAGAGCGAGGTAACCGCGGCGGCTTCGCTTCCCGAGAATGATTTTGGGGCTCCCCGCACCCCGATATCCTCGGGAACCAGACGTCCCCGGGGACTCTCTCCCGCCCCGCCCCGGACGCGGTCCTTTAAGCCGCGAGCGCGCGCGCCCCCTGGCGGTCGGGAAGGGAATCGCCCCGCGGCGACTGGAGCCCTTTCCCTTCCTCCTTAAAGGGACCGACACCCAAGCCTTCTCCCCGCCCCCTCCCCGCCGGGAGCGGAGCTTACAGAAGGGTTGGGTGTTTGCGGGGAGGCACCCGCCCCCCACCTTCACCCCCGACCCCGGCTGCCATTTTTCTGCTCCATATACATTCGAAGGTCAGGGCCTGGGTTGCAGAAGGGTCAGGCGCCCGGAGTCTGGGTGCCTGTGTCCCCCCCACCCCCCACCAAGGGCTGGGGGCTGGGGACCCCGAATGAAGAGAGGGCTTGCGGGGGGGGGGGGGCCTGCACCACTAGGTCCGGAGGAAGGAGGGCAGGAGCTCTGGGTATGTCGAAGGGGGAGGGCCTGGGGTCTGGGGCTTGGCTGCTGGGT